GGAGATCAAAATATGTATAGATCTATAGACACGTTAATTTAAGCTAGACATTAAGTTGATTTGGTGTACTTTTGCATTTCTTCATCAGGATAAAGATAGTAACCGGGTTCGGAGGTGATTTGCCAAACACAAGATGGAATGCATCATCAATAAACACCTATGCGGCGCGGATATTTTGAAGCTATGCGGCGCGGATATTTTGAAAATATTCGTCGGAAATGGACTTCACACCTTCAGAAATGTGACAGTCAACTGGTCGCAAGACGTTGTTTGTGTCTGTCATGTGATTTTCTTGGATGGGAGAAGTAAACTTCTCATCAGCAAGAACACAGCCTCCTTCCATGCTGAATATAAAATCATACGGTACCTTAAAGAAAACATCCAAGGGATACGTTCCGTCAGTATTTTCTGCAGCTTCTCACCGTGCAGTAAACCAGGGCACGACTGTTGCAACTTGATTCGCGAGATCAAGGAAGATCTGAGGACCCTGCATGAAAGGAATAGGGGTGATGGTGTGAGGTCACTCACTTTCGTTTTTTCTCAACTGTACGGGATTGCGAGACCATCTTGTAGAAATAGAGGTTGTTTCGGGTGGGGTCCAAACAGGCATAACCGACCTCGAGGAAACGCCCAAAGTTTGAACGATCTCCGTTCGTTGGGCAGCGACATTAGAAGCTTCGAGTGGGTCGACTGGTTGGACCTGATTATATTACTGACTTTTTGGGACAATTATAGATGGGGTGTACGCCTTTCTATTCACATATCGTTTCTGATGAATTCGTTTCTTTGTGGAGTTGAGGGCCCCTGGCGTCCCTCGGAGGATGCAAATCTGAAAAGGGACTTTCAAGAATTAATGTCATAGCAACAGTCAGGCGCGGATCCCGGGCCGATTTTACCGCCCCCCCCCCCAAACGGTAAAAAATAGGATAGTAACGTAAATTTTACCCTTTTTTAAACAAAAAACAAAAGCGGGCCGCCTGACCCGCCCCCTTCCCCCCCCCCCCCCCCAAATAAAAAAATAAAAATAAAAAAAATAAGAATATTTTTAAAATTTGCCCCACCGAAAGAAATTAGTGTTCCTCCTTTCCAGCATCCCCCCTGCTTTTTCACCGGCCGGCTGAGTCGGCGCAAAAAATTTCCACAAAAACTGGACCCCCCCCCCCCTCCAAAAAATAAATAAATAAATAAATAAATAAATAAATAAATAAATAAAAAGAAAAAAAATGAATACTGTAAGCATGCGTGACCAATTCGAGGGGTATAAATGGGTGCTTTTGTTTAGATTGGACGCGGTCTGCCCGGTGCCGCATTAAGAAAAAATATCACCAAACTACGACTGATTGCACACAACTTACCCATAGAAACGGGAAGATATAGAAGACCTAATCTACGATTAATATAAAGATTTACGAGTAGTTTTTCTTGAACAAATTAGCAATTTGGAAGCAAATGTTAGTAACTTGGAATGTCGAGAAAAGTTCATATTTATAATGAGGTTAGACAATAAAAATATGATAGATATATTCTCTTTGTTCACTAAAACATAGTTGCAGTGAGGGGTAACTTTTAAATACTATGTAACAACAAAGTACAAATTTACAATCTTATGTTTTGGGTTCAATTTTACAGTAGGTCGCATATAATTATTATGTATAAGTACTATTATGTCATTTAGTTTAGGCATTCCATGTACCTCATTTACTTATTTTGTATAGCATGAGTTATAATTTATTAATAAAACTGCTATATTAGGTTTGATATATCTAAATCTTCGGATGTATTATGGTACATTATATTATTTACTTTTTGAATTATGTGTCATGTTATTACAAGAAGAAAAAAGAGTTGTTCTGCTGTATATAATTTTCCTTCTGTTTTGCTATATACACTGCATTGTAAACTGATTTATAATAATTATGATATACATGGCTACAAACAGAATATTGATTTGTTACATTGCATTGTAAATTGATTTGTAAATTGACAACAACTTACTATGTGATAATCAGTCAGGTTTTCGGCCAAAGCAGTCAACGACTACTACACTTTTAAATATCACAGAAGATCTATTTGATAATATAGACAAAGGGTGCACAACAGGGATTGTTATGCTCGATTTACAAAAAGCATTTGACTGCATTGATCATCACATCCTTCTGCAAAAATTACGTTTCATCGGTATGTCTGAAAAAGTCACCAAATGGTTTGAAGGTTATCTGATAGGGAGAAAGCAATTTATTACAATGAATGGTATAATCTCGAATACTAAGGAACTCACATGCGGAATACCGCAAGGTACTATCGTAGGACACATGCTATTTTCAATATATGTGAACGACCTACCAACTGCAGTGAAGCATTCTAAGGTATTAATGTATGCTGACGATACGTGTTTATATTTCAGTAGTAACAATGTTCGAGAGTTGACAACGACTTTAAACAAAGACCTAGAATCCGTATGTGAATATCTAAAATGCAACAAAATGAAATTAAATGTTAAGAATTGTGAGTTTCTTGTCGTAGGTACCAGGAGTAAGTTAAACAGACTTGATCCTAATATACATTTACTAGTAGAGAGTATACCCATTCTAAGAGTTTCATCGTGTAAGTATCTTGGCGTAATTCTAGACGAGAATTTAAAGTTGGAACCTACATATCAACGAAATAAGAAGAAAATTTTTGTTTAAATTGTATATATTAAGGAGAATTCTTCCGATTATTACACAACGCCAAGCGGAGTTGTTTTATAAATCCATGATACAATGTCATTTTGATTACTGTGATATAGTCTATGCAAATACAGGGGTTACTTAAGAAAACTTCAAACTTTACAAAATGAAGCGCTAAAAACTGTCTTAATTAAGGAAAGACCCAAGATTCCCAACAGATCAGTTGTTCATACTTTTAAATTTAGATAACACTGAAGATTTTAAAAAAAGGACATTAATAATGATGCACCAAATATTTTATAATAATGCACCAAAACCTATTTTACGTTTCTTTGAAAAGCGCAACCCTGTGTATAATACCCGACACTCTTTCCATAATTTTGCATTACCTAAAGGCCAAACGAATTATAAAATAAGGAGTTTAAGTTATAGAGGAGCGAAATGCTTGAACACAATTTTACAGGAACTGAAATCCAGAGAGAATAAAAAATGTTTTTAGAAAACACATCATGTCACCACCTAGGTAGCGGGGGGGGGGGGGGGGTGGGGGCTGACCATTGGGAGGAGAGTCAATCAGACTCTCGGTTTACAATACACCTCTCTGTTAATTATTTACTTTTTATTCATTATTGTTAATTTGTATTTTGTACATTATAATAATTCATGTTTTCTTTGTTTATTGTTAGTTGTTGATTTGATTCGATTTTTTTGCATATTTGTATGTTTTGTTATCTTTTGTTACTGGATTTTGTTTTGTGATATAATTTGTATATTTTTTATTCAGTCACGGACTTTCTGAAAATCAACCGATAGGCTGAGAAAGTGACCGTGTTTAGATAAATAAATGAAATAAAATGAAATTTACATGATTTATATTTTTATAAACAGACTATTGATGTACATCAATGAAGTTTGATAAATACAATAAAATATGATACATGTACGATTCTGCAGTTCGTTTTGTTATTTATAATACCATGAAGAGAGGAAATAAAGAGTAAAAATACTACACACACGCAAAAAGAGTAAAAAACACAGAAATAAAAAGTAATGCAGTGACAAAAAGAATAATGCAGTAAAAATAGAAATAATTTACATGACAGTTTCTTTGACAATAAACGACTCGAAACGCAACTATTGCAGGAGACAGATGCCGATGGAAAGGTCTCATCACATGGGTCACAACGGGTCAGCCATGAACTATAGGAGAACGACGACGACAATATTGCAAAGGTATCATTTGTAAATAGAGGTAAGTTTTTTGAAGACATTTTTAATATCACTATGTTATTGTAGAAAAACGTATTCATTGTTTGTTTCTTAAATTAAGAAAGAAACACCAGTTGTGTCATGTTTATATAAACCGTTGTCTATTCAAGTGTAGGATAGCGTTAGTTTTTGGTATACTCCATTTATTTTAAGGTATGTTGATAGATCCAGTGGCGGTACAAGGATTTTAAAAGTGTAGGGGTTAATATGATTGAGGACGATAACGGAAATAAATAATTTATCTAGCCCTCTAACTAAAATTCGGGGTAAGGAGGAGGGGGGGGGGGGTCAAAGAAATTACCTCTACTCTCATACATGAACTGGGAGGGGGAGGTAAAGGCTTTAACTGTGTAGATAATGCCCCAATCCCACCCCTCCCACCTCACCTTGAGCATTTAAGTTTCTGCTAGACAGATTTTTAGTTATTTTCAGAAAACTTGAACAATTATAACTGATAACATGAATTTTAGATTAATCTAGAACTGTGAAGAAGTACCAGCTAGTTTGATTATTGTTCATATCATGAATTACCCTCAATCTTAATTTGTTTAACTTGTGTTTCAAAACAGGTTCATAACACTGGCATATCATTGCTACTTTTAGCTTTAGATTTGAATGATGGATTGTGAATTTGTCCTTCGTTTTCATTTTTTAATATTTTTGTATGTATCTTTCTTCCCCTTAATCCTTTTGCGGAATTTTGCACCACATCAGGAAAAACCAAGTTGTAGACCTAGTTATATCTTCAAAATGTTCCATTTTCCTGCTCTGATATATCCATGACATTTGTTGCAAATTATTTTTCAGAATTATTCCCTAGAAAAAAAATGATGTCGTTAAATAAAAAGTACTGTCAAAAAGTAGTTCGTTTGATAAAAAAGTGATATAAATTAATTATCACAACTTTTCAATCACTGTAGTACATGTACGTGAAAAAGATTATTCATGCAAAGTTAATCAAATAACTAGTTAGCACAGTTAACAATACAAAACATTTAAATGAATAAACCAAATATACTTTATAAGAACAACAGTTTAGAACAAAAAAGTAAACTAAATCAATTGTTTTTTTATCAGAATTTTTATTACATGGAACTCTACGTGGGTATCCTCGTGTTTCAAACCGATTAGGAGAAAAGAAGGGATCCACAATATGTACATTTCTATAAACTTATATTTACATTAAAAATATATCCATAATTTTATGTACAGCTAGAGTATATTTGTAAATTTAGATTTTCTTTATTTTACAATAGTTAAGTAGATTATAGAATCAAGGTGATAATAACATTTGGCAAAGAGATGCCTGGAACAGTCATCTCAATTTTTATAGTTCTGCTTATATACACTAATCTAAATGTAATACGTTGAATGATTTCACCATAACATAGAACAACATGTCAGTATCTGGTGTATTTTTAAATCTCTGAACGTGCGTGTGACACTCTCATAATGCTATTGGGCAAGTCCAAGCTATTTTATCCCATACTTACCAAGCACATCTAAGATTTTAAAACAATGCATCAAGTTCATAGCCCTACTACAGCAAGGATCAGGGCGCTGTTTCATGACAGTTGTCATCAATAAGAAGTTACAATAACTGTTATAAGCTTCTGAAATCATGACATTTGATTGGCAGAGAGCAGATTTGTTATAGAAATTTAGCATTAGTTATTGATAACAAGTTTTATGAAACAGGGTCCAGATCAATTATGAAGGTAAATAACACCCATGATATCAAGTTATGTTCAGAAGTCCACAATACTTGGTTAATGCATGAGACACTAACTAGTTAAATATCTTGGTCTAGCCATATTGTATCCTTTCAAAGTTTGACATATAGTTCAAATTGTCCTCTGATTGTCAAATACATGTATGTAATTCCATTAATGGCTTGATGTTCACTAATAATCTTCATGTGCTGATTGGCCATTGAACAGAAGAAAGAGAAACATAAAATGTCATACTCTCTTCAGTGATGGTAGATCACAAGTCCCAGTATTAATGATATCATTATATGAATCTTCACATATTAACTGTGATATAAACAAAAAAAGGAAGTATAAACGATGATGCACTTTTGATATGAATAGTTTGTTTGCAAAGAGTTGTTAATAAAAGTTTCAGAAATACATAAGGCTGATTAATACAGATGAGATCATGTCTACATATGTGTCTTCAAATATTTCTCTCTACTTTGAAAGAGTGTGCTCTGCCTCTCTTGAAAGTACTTTATTTCCGAGTATTGTAAAGATATAAAACAACATCAACGAATGTGAGAAATTAATAGGTTTAAAAGTTATGTAATTAGAAAGATATATTTCCTACTCAATACAGATATCATAGCCCAAAGACATATCCATTGCTGGACTGCATACAAAAGTACTGCTTTGTTTCTTCTTGATCATACAGAGCTAGTTTTGTCAAATGTACATAATTTTGTCCTGGAAGTACAATGACATAAACTATTTTTTCAATAATGCTAATGCCAATAATTAACCAAGGTACATGTATAAATTGATTTGCTTATGTCTTCAAATGTTGCATTGTGTATACTGCTCCCTTACATTTACATTTTCATGTCTTTGAAAACAGATCGGTTTTATAATAAGAAGAGCATCCATTAGATGTCACTTCTGCCAATCCCTTGTATCCTAACAAGACCCTTCTTTTTTGCATATCATTGTTTTCAGGATATGAGCTTAGAAGTTTGGCATCCATTCTATACTTTCTAATGATAGAGTCGGCTATGCTCTGTAGCTTGGGAGTAATACATATTGGTAAATTATTGTCTCAAGTCTTAAAAAAGATACTCCAATTTGTGCAGTTAGACTTCAAGAAATCACCAGAAGAACAACAGATGTGTGGCAGTTTCCAAGAGATGAAATAGCTTGAACAATGCATTGCAATCACGCAATTGCTACAAAATTCAGGTCATTTTATGTATATGTTCTGTATCACAATTAATCACAGTACATGTAAAAATAACAGTAGAAATTAAATTTTATCAAGGTGATATTGAGTCAAAAGAAAATACCCCTACAACACTGACTATCAGCCATAAAACCATCCTAAGATTTGATTTAGAGTGTTGCTCTATAGTTGTTAGCTAGAGAGTCCTCAGTATGAGTAGTGGTTGGTGCTGTCCCAATGTGGTACATGCGGGGCCCTCAGTCCCATCTCCCCATTAGGTATCTTCGGCATGGGGAGGTCCTTGCCAGTGAACTGAGGCAAGTTGCTATAGTTGTGCATGTCCCTGATGCCAGGATAAACTGAATTAGAAGAAGAAAAAAGGAAGGAACAAAATGATGAAATGTGTGACAACAGTGATATCAATGGATGCAATAGCTTGCATACACATGTTGTGCACTGTAGATCCCATTCAGTCATGAGGCATAAAGCTGGGTATATATTATCATACATGCATGCAGACAGTAATCATCAAGTTTGTAAGTCAGAACTTATGGGTCCGTTTTAATTATTTTAATCCAAACACCTCCACTTATGAATTTCTGAGTGCAGGCCTTAACAATTTCAATCAAGACCCCTTATGAAAAGAATAACAATCATATCTGGGCATTAAATTTCACTACATGACTCATTAGTCATAATTCCTGACATCAACCTCAAGCAATTCAATATCATAGAAATGAGCTCGACTGTTCAAGCTCATGTAACAGTGTGACGAACATATACATTATAATCGTCATGACATGCTTTCTAGTCAGTATCTTGAGTTTATTTATAACATCTTATTCAGTTTAAAATTCACAAGCTGACATTGGGATCCAAATGGTTCCTGCCACGTTGCACAAAACTTACCATTGATGTTAACTTTGCCATCAATGGTAACTCCCATGGAAACCTTGAATTATTTGGCTGTTGAGCCCTGTTACCATGGTAGTTACCATCAATGGTAAGTTTTGTGCAACGGGACCCTGTATAGAACATGTCCTTACCTAATGGTGGTTGTGTTCTTTCGAAGGGCAATTTGGGTTTCTGTTCTCGTTTGGGCCAGTTTGGATCATGCTCCGGGTAGATGTTGGTCATCTCTTGGATGTGTTCAAAGACACCGGGTTTGCTGGTCTCTGGATGATGAGGCAATCCTGAAGACCACATTCCAGTCTACAGGAGAACAAATTATCACAATGAAACAAAATGTAAGGGTTATATGGTTGACAGAGTTTCAAGAGAGTTGATAGGCCCCTACTGATTAGAAACAAAAAACAAGCGTTTCAACAAGTATCCTCTTTTATTCTGAAGATACATACCAGCAAAAAAGAATGGTTGTAATACATATTTTGCAAAAACATTGATTTTAGTACTGGTAAAGATCATCTGTAATATTTGAATGAAAAGATTTCTCAGTAAAAGTCTTCAAAGACATGTCAGCAGAGATGCAGAAAGATAAAGAGAGGGTAAAATAAACAATTGTATTACTGAGAAAAAATAAGAAAATTGCACCAAAATCCTTACAATCAATCAGAAAATTATGTATGTTTGCTATAAAAACACAAAGACAACTTAGAGGAACTTACCATGGGTTGTGAGCTGGTTCCAGGGTAAGAATCGTTAGTTGCAATCTTAGCATTATTCAAATCCTTCATGAATGTTCCTGATCCTTTGGGTTCTAAGCTGATTTCGGCTGGTGGGCTGTGGGGACGGAAAGGAATTAAATATTGGTGTATTGCTATTATGCTTGATAATGACTTTAACCATACAAATGGAAAACAGAGAGAAAGTTTCACACAGAACTACATGCTATACTGTTGGATAAAAAAGGGGGGAAAGAGGGAATGGCAGAGAGAAAGAGAGACGGAGAGGGAGAGGGAGAGGGCAGAGATGGATAGACAGACAGAAAGTGATAGAGATGAGAAGAAAGAAAATAACTACAATGACAATATTGTTAAATACACATTTATCATCACAAGTTGGATGGTAAACTCAGTCTCTATCTCGTCAAGTTGCATAATGAGAATAGAATCTGGGATGTAGTATTTTGTCCCAAACCCTTTAGTTTTCGCATGGGGCCCAAAGGCACCAGCAAGAAGCCTATACGAGTGCTTCAACAACTTGTTAATTGCAAGTCGTTATTTCGTTTCGAGTGTTTTTAAATTTACGATACATCTCTGTGCTGAAGGAGTCTTTAAAGCCCCACTGTACTACTTGTAACTACTTGCTTCCTCTTTATAGAAAACAATGCCTAATCGGTGACCACTAGTCCCCCATGATCCTCTTTTTCTTATGTTAATTGAGAGCTGAGTTGATGAGATAGCCACCTGTCAGTGACCTTCCTGGGTGGTCTTATCCATCCTAGCCAAAGTAGTACAGACAGCCTTTAAAGCTGATAAGGTAAATACCAGCATGGAACCCAAAATCTACAGAGCAAAATATTTGGGGGTAATGTAACTTACGTTTGTGTTAACCCTCCAGCTGTCATCTCAGTAGGTCCTTGTGTAATGGTGTGCATTCTTTGTCCTACCCCAGCATCAATGCCTGTAGTGTCTGTTCTGTATAAGGTCTGCTGATGGTATGTCTCAAGTTCCTAAACAGAGAGCAATTACATGCATCATCATCCGAATTCTGTAATCCGTTCTTCACATAAATATTGGTGTAAAGTTCATTTTAAAAGAAATATATAAATGCTTTAAAAACTATTACAAATATATCTATGTGTTTGTGTTCACTTTCTGAATTTACTTTAAAGATTATCCATAACATATTTATCTAAATCAGACAAAAAATATTTCAAATTGGAGAGGAGCTTGCATGATACGTCACAGTGTTGCCAATATAATGTCTTTCACTGATGACAACTTTAAAAATTCATAACTTTCCTATTTCTAATCAAATTTTCTCAAACTTTTACTAATTTGTTTCTCTCATTTTTCTGCTTTTTATAAAAACCAAGATAATATCAGGGTGGATCTCCCCTTTAGATACCACTACAGTTGAACTAAAGAGCCTTCATCTGTTACCACTTACCTCAAGAGAAGTTCTTATATCTTCCACATGCTGTAACAGATGTCTTTCAATGTACTCTGGACCATTGGTAGCTGCACTCTTTTGGCTACATGTTCTCTTCATTTCCTGCAGGACACTCTTGGCTTTCAAAACATTTGCTGTCAAAACTGAAACAAAACAAGTTAGAAAAAATAAAAGTTTAATTAGACAAGCAGTAGGATTCACATTACAAGCAATAAGAATACAATCACATACAATTTTGCATCAAAAGAGCATAGTATCTGTGGATCAGGGTAAATCTTTTCTAGTTTTAAATGTTTGATTCTAAACATTTCAATGATTAAAGAATATTTAATCATTAACTATAATTGTTTACATACATTGTCAACAAAAAACTATCCAATAATGTAAACAGGATAAGATTTGATTCTTGTCAAATAATCATAGGCCTAGTGAAAATACCCGGAACCAAATTGAAGAAGAAAAACAATCTTTATGTAACCCTGTAATGTTCCAAGGCACTGTTAAAAATATTGTTGACACAAGGAAAATAAACAACATCATTTTTGATATTCTACTACAATATCTGACAATTTTGAAGATATTTCTTTCCTAAATGTTCTTAGTGCCTCCCAGATTCTCTACGAAAACTATCTACTCACATTTCACTAGTGGACCATCCACCCAGTACTCTTTATTCCCCTTGACCTCAGGTCGAAGGTCACTGACCATCTGACCCAAACGGTTCAACACTTCCCATGACCTCTCATCTATGACAGATTGCTGCCTTTGCAGACAGTTGAGACCCTCAAGAACACTGGTGCATGCATTGAAGAACTCTGCTCTGGTATAAGGTGTGGCTGGATTGGCTGAGGTCACGCTCATGATGAATAGTTATTGATCTGAAGAAAAAATGAATGAGAAAACATGAAAACAACTTTTCTTGGTGTTTAATATCTTTATCTAAGGTCTTGAACTAAATAAAATGGAACTACATGTATGAAGCAAAAGTGTTCAAATTAAGAAATAACTTTCATGATGAAATCAAGTTTATATGTCATAATATGAAGGTATGAAAATAACTTAAGGAAACAAAAATTGTATCTCCAAAACTCTCTGTTAGATCTAACTTTATGATTACATTAATAAGCAACTATAGAAGAGGTGCTTCTTTCGAAAAAGGCCGCCAGCTCAGAAAATGATTTATGTGGCTGGACATACATCAGGAAATAAGGCCATACAGGGTATAATCAGATTTCACTAAGCAAAAAAGATTATGAATTTATCCTTTTCATTAAAAATAATGATAATTAAAAAAGAACAGGAAGTTAGAGAGGTACCTACAAACATATTTAGTGAGAGTCTCTGCAAATTTGTTCCAAATCCATGAATGAAGATTTGAACAAACATGACGAACAAAATGCATGATCCTTGGCCCACGCCTCAGTTGAAGGAGTTACCAGGTTTCCACCTGAAGGGGTATTAGTCTATTGGGGCATTCTCATGAAAAAAGCTACTGCTCATTCACTTTTTTACGCATTGGTTCATTGGATGCAATGCTATAGGGAATTCCACCACCGGCTCTGCCATAGACTTTACGCTCAGTGTGTGTATGGTGGTGTGACCAGTGTTCGCGCATGACCTTAGTTCGCTATCTCAAAAAAATTGGTTAGAATTCAAAACTCCAATACCACCAATGGACAGAGGAATCTAAAATTACCCAGAGACAACGTTTTCTATGGAATTGGGTGTGAAATTATGAAAATATTGACAAAAATGTTAGTCTTTTGCATCCTTTCCCAAAAAAAATATGAAGTTACTGACAAGGCCAAGGCAAGGGTCTCAAAATCTTTATTTGGAGAGCAGATCTATGTCATCAAAATTGTACGTAAAATGGGGTACCAACTGATTGTATGATACTATTGATAGTTTGCCATGCAAAATTTGCAATTATCTATATTTGATTGATTGCTTTTTGTTATAAATTAGCTGTAAAGTCCTGTACACGAATTAAGGTCTTGTTTTTTTGATGACTTTTTTGTCAGTTGCAGCACATTCTGATTAAAAAAAAATCGAATTTTGAGAATGGTCTTTAGCAATATCTCCGGAATTCTTCGACAATAAATTTTCTAGTTGCACCAATTTGTGACGGTACTCAGGTACTGTAGTCAAAGCTTTACATTCCATTTGGTAATAATTTAACTACATGACACATCGTGAATCGATGACCACAAGTCGTCGCGTCTGCCAGTGGCTATTTCATGAGAAGTCCGATAATTAGATAGTCAACTGTCGCTTTCATCCTAATTATATGTAAGTTTCTGTTAGAATTGACTAGCTAGGTAGCTGTAGCCAGGCCCAGGCCCAAGCTCCAGACAGTAGCGCGGTGCATACACCACTGCCTCTCCTCATCAGTATACCGGGGGCAAACACCGATTGCTTACGGCTGTTACCCCGCCAGTTGCAGGCTAGGAGTCGGACAGTGATATGAGCCGAGCTCGAGCTCGGCTGTTTATTTTGCATCCGCATAATAATATGCTGTTCTTGTGATTAATGCGATGAATATTGTAAATATAACGGGGGAAAAGCTTCCCGAGAATTACACCTACCAGTAAACAATTACAAATGAATGGAAATGAAATAAAAACATAACTCACCGATCACCCAAAATCGAAATCCTGATCCTGCGGCTGCTGGAAAAACTAGGAATACGGTGCAATATGGTCAAATCTTCAGTGTCTCATAAAAAAATACAAAAATAGATTAAATAATTTTAAATTTTCATTTATGAGCAATTAAAAATATGAAATAGTATAAATATATTAATTGTAGTATTCTTATATATTTATAATGACAGCACATTACACAAAATGATATTTAGTTATTATTATTTTAAATTGGCTTTTCTTGAGCAGCAGTTTGTTTGTAGCAACGACCAGCTGGGACAATAACCCACGTGTAAGGCATTGTATGTAAACAAACAGGGCGTTGACGACCACCGCTTATCTTTAGCAGCCAAACACACGCGACTCATCACAATATCGCATAAACATCACGTTGAATTTGGGCATAATATACTTTAACATTTTCATTAAGTTGCATAGTACATTCGTTTGATAGGACTTTGTTGACTTCCTCCTTCGTTCCATCTTTGAACATTTTTTTGCCTGTTTTTCGACCGACATTGTTAGCGACAATTTCAAGGATTCGAGCAGACGCCACTGACCGTAAAGATGACCGACACTGTGCCTGTACCCGCGGTCCGTCCCCCAGTGGACAAGCCTATGCGACTGGTTGGAGTTAGCCACAGTAATAATAGCTACAGCTTGGTTGACCATGCATCTGCTAATGATCAACTTCATTATATATTTTTGGTTGTAAAGCAGCATATTGCTGGTAAGTTGTTTTCTTTTGTCCCCTTCCCCTCTCCCTCTCTTTCTATCTATCTATCTGTCACGTCAATCTTTCTGTCACGTCAATCTTTCTGCCTGTGTGTCTATTATATATGAGTACCGGTATATCAGTATAGAGTATGTCATCATGTCTCTGTGTGTCTCTCTATATTTCCCACTCCCTCTCACTCCGCATATAATTTTGATCAATACCGGTAGTTTATTTATTTTAATGTACGATTACTTCATGTCTTTCATTGTTTCAATAACATTTCATATCAGAGTTTTGATTCATAGATATTTTCTGCAATAGGGAGTTGTTATGTATTTTTACACTTTTCTGTTTTTCAAAAATATTGGTGAGAGGCCTATTATATTTTTAAATAATATTTCTTGATCCCAATATTTTGTCATGAGTCCATGAATATGTCATTCATAAAAATGTATTTATATATTTATTTCCTAATCTTATTCCTAGGTATCCTTGCTGATGTTCAGTATTATAAGATTGCTGAGCTGAAGAATGAGATCATTGCTCTTGGTACTGATGTAGCTGCTCTAGTCAGAGACAGGTCTTTTGAGGAATCAAGGGATAAATATCACAGTCATTTCTGGCGAGCAGATGATGAAGCTGAAAACAAACGTAAGTGACCTGAATCTGCATACATGTATATACTTATTTCTGGTACTGATCGACTGATAATGATATAGTGCCTCTAGAAGACGAAATACAATATGCTAATAAAAACTAGTGCAAATAATCAAAAGTGTTATACTGGATCTTTTTGTCTGAATGCTATTGATTTTGTTAAAATATAGAATCAAGAAAATAGACAATAGTAATGTGAATATAAGAAACAAACTTTTTCTTCATTTGTATTGATGAAAAAAAGAAAATTATTCCAAAAGATTTTTTAAATCAAAATGAATCAGTATGTTATGTTAATTTGCAGTGCTCATTTATTGAAGAAAAAACATTTTCCTTTGTTGTTATAAAAGTCCATTTATTTAGATATATAATAAAATAGTTTGTAAAATGAATAGTTTTTGACATATAATTTATGTTTTTGTTCCTTTTGTAGGACTGATTGTGAAGTTGTCAGAGGTTGCATATGCACTTCTTGATTACAAACAGAACTGTTGCACACAGAGTAGAGGACCCTATGCATTGGATGAAGCTAAGCTGGAAATACTCTGCAAAAAACACTTGTATGAATTACAGAATTTCAGAAGGGTATGTAACTTATTCCTACCTCATTATTGTATACTGGATTTGTAGTGATGTGATAAAGAGAGACAGAGAAACAGTAAAGAAACAGCCATGAATTTTAATTTTGAATGTAACAGTAATCAGTATAATAAATTACCTCAATCAGATTAAACTCAATGAACAAGAGCATAGAAATATATCCTGATTTGAAGATAGAATTCCGACTGTTGCATGTATTCAGTTGCTGTTAAACATTTTAACCAATCTTAATTGTTTACTTTTATAATTGTAATTTGTTTACAGGAGCTGGCACAGTTTGTCAACACGGCCCGAGATCGAAATGCCCAGGTGACCCGCCTGTCTGCACCTCTTCAGTCACAACTCGAATGGTATCAGTACAAATCACCTTTGGATGACCCCAGTATCCGCCGACCTCTGCCCTACGAGTGCACTCTGACCTCCAGGGAGACGATCCGCCCAAGAACGGAACCTCCAGAGGTGGATGGTCACATATCAGGAGTCAAGCATGTACCAAGTCAATGGGATGTTCCAAATCTATCAGGAAAACCAGGAGCAGCTAATTCAGGTATGATACATTCATACAGTATCTTATCCATGGATCCATAATCTTTAATATAACCTTAACTGTATAAGGTAGCCTCCATAAAATATGATTAATATTTATCTTTTCGCTCATGTGTTCTATGTTTGCATTAGTCATCCAATTGATCAATGAATGCTCCAGTTTAAAGATGTAAAAGGAAAGAATGATAATGGACAAAAAGAAAGCTTCTGTAGAGTGAAGCATAGCTTAGCAAGAACTACATGTATGGAATATTATATGTATTTCAAAATAATAATAGCATTCAAATATTGTTTTAGTATTGCTGTATGACTCTAAATACCTAGATTTTAGTATAAAATACTAAACAATAATTAGCCAAATTCGACCATAGATTACTTAAAATTTAAGAACAGCAACATATACCTTAATGCTAAATATATTACTCATTGCGGATATACATGTAGTATCGATAATAATATCGCTAGTGACATTCGTTTTTCTTTACATATCCAGGAACCCATGGAAACCTAACAAGCCAGGGCCGGTACGGTGGCAGGCATATGTATGAAAGGAACATCAACGAGAGGAGAAAGCCATGTGAACAAGAAATTCAGCATGTTTCAAGTCGATACAAGCATTATCATGGACTCTGTGAATAAGCACACAATATCATTTACTGAAGTTATATTTTAGTGTCGTTTTATACTGTGACTCTTTGACTGAATTTGTTCAAATAGCTTTAATTTACATAATTGTTTGGTGTATATGCATACAGTGGACATTGTTATGTCTGGAAATTAATGCAATGGGTCTTACTTTATCTATACAACTTCATAATATCAAAAGCAGTAGGCATATAGCTAGATGTATCTTGCTGGCTGAAGTATGGATAGATGGATATGTCTTGCATTTTCATGTTTGAATGAAAACATTCAACTTTCTCTTTACAATCATACTTAGTATTTCAGTATTTCAGTTATGAAAGAAATGGTCTCTATACAACTGATTTTTTTTGGTGAGGAATAAAGTTTGAAGTGAAAGAGCATGTAAAGCCTAAACTCAAAGGCTATTTGAAAAATCTAGTCGCAAATGCCTGATAGGATATCCAAATTACTAGCTTATATTGTGCATAACATAGCTTATAATGCCTTTTTAAATGTGCATATATATCCATTCCTATGCAAAAAAGGAGTTAGATATACATTTCTGAAGAACAATCTTTCAAAACTTTCTATATTGATGTAGAAAATAATTATGTCTACTACACCCTCATTTTATATCATCTTACCTCTCTTTGCCTGAGCTTGATGGATTAAAAAAATATATATATTTTGCCAAAAATAACAAGTCAGTCCAAAACACATGAAATCGACTGTATTTAGGTCTGAGTGGTCCACTGCTTTTTATACCCTTGTATTATAAATGTACAATCATGCCATTTCCCTCTAGAACATTCACTTACTGTTCGTAACAAAAGTTTGATGCTGAAAGTAATTTGTTCTTATTTATATAATAATTAGATATCTCAATGTATAGACTTTACTTTCTGTAGTTGTCTAATCATGAAATTGATTAGTGAAATAAATTATGGAAAGTTTTTTGCAAACTCATTCTGATGTTATCCTATAAACAATTATGAATTGAAGATTGTCACTGTGATACTTTGAAAGTAGAGTGATGTGGTTTACACATTATCAAGTTTCATGAATATCTATTAACATAGACTTACATGACACATATTATGCGTGGTTATCACTGTTGTGAATTTTCATTTTTATTAAATAAACTAAATGCTGCCAAGATTGGATAGTTTATCATTGATTCCAGGAATCTTAAAAAGTAATATATAATCTGTAATAAAGTGTTATACTTTTAAATGTGAAGATTTATTGTAAATAAAGAAGTGAAGAAACCCTTAATTCATTGATGTTTTGTTATTTTTTCTGTATCGTTTTGTTAATGCTACAATGTGTTGATACATAAAGTATGTATACATATATAAAGAGCCAAGCAGTTGCGTGATGGCATGATGGCATGATGGCACTTCCTCACATTTACGATGTTATAACATGATGTTAATACGATATCAACGATACATAGCACCAGCTCTGAGTTGGCCTGTCTCCCACGCAAAATGAATGTTCACTGCTCTCAATAAACTTCAGGAAGTACACATCATGAGAACAATACAGGGCAGGCCTCCACGATGAAATGTGTAACCACAAAATGTGTCGGTTTTATTCATAATGAGCATGGGGCGTACAGGGTCCAGCTTTAAAGGAGACACTTGCAGGGGGGGGCGGCACCCGTCTTCGTGATTGCAATGCAAATCGGTTAAATATATATATATATAAAAAAGGGCCCTGGGTATATAGGATATAGGGTATTCGTTTTCGTAAATTACTCCCTCTTTTTCTTCTTCTCGTCCCTCTCTTTTATTTTGTTTAGCACATATTCTATGGGGGAGATGACCCCTAACCCCCCCCCCCGGCCCCCCCCCCCCCCCCCCGTAGCTATGCACACCCAAAACCAATAACAATTGGGGACAGGGCTTTTGCTACCGTTGCACCCAAATTATGGAACACTTTACCATTATAAATAAGACAATCATCAATTGAAATATTTAAGAAGAAACTTGCACCATTTGTTTATGTCGTAGTTTATTGTATAATTATTTTGATGTTGTACAAGAGCGCCTTGAGCAGTCTTTTAGAATGGATTGACAGTATTATTATTATTATTATTACGGCAGTGGATCATAATTTTAAGGAATACCACCGACATTACGATTCCGGATTCCTGCAGTAGGCCTATTGCAAAAACATTTTTTTTTTAATTTATAGATAGGGGGTATATATTAAGCCTACATCATCATCTATCTATTTTATCTGATCATTAATCGTCATCAGCTTCATCATCATCATAATTGCAATCATCACCCTTAATCCTATCGTCATACCATCATAGTCATCGCAAATTGTGTAAATGAATGACATAGAATCAAACAAAAGACAGAGTAGCGAAAGAAAATGTCCTAAAGTCAAAATCGAATTGAGAGATCGAGAGAGAAAGGAAAACGCGAGAGATGGAAGGGGGAAACAGACGATGCATGTGAGTGGCGAGAAAGAGAGAACGACGATCGATGGGGATGGGGTCTTTGGTGATAATTTTTCATTTTAATACGTTATTGTATACAGGATTGAAACGCTGTATAAAACCATTCAGGATCTCCCTGTTCATCTACCAATCAATTAATTATTTCACAACTCAGATGGCTTTCCATAGTCATGCATTACAAAGGTAGCGTTACGTTGCCAAGCATCAAGGACACACCGTACAGGCTTCCGATACGAATTAACATCCTTTATTGAGGTATTACATTTCATATTTATCCCATATTTAATATCATAGTTATTAAACAGTAAATATGTTATTATCCATACAGTAATCATTTTTTCAGGATTCATAGCCCGAGCTTTCCTCGGTTGTGACGCAATGTTTACACTCGAGTTTACAACAATACAGTCCCACATGCGTATTCTTGTGATGGATTATTTTATGTTGTTTTTGTTGTGAATTGCGCTTGCGGGGGGGGGGGGGGGGGGGGGGGCGTTATTTTTTTCTGCGGCACAGATTGGGGCTTTTTTAAAAAGGGGTTTTGATTTACAGACTAATAGTGGTCGTGTGCGTACTAGTAAAAGAGGTCTGTTTTAATTAATAGTGTTACATGTAATCCACTACCGTATGGAAAATCATTGTTAAAATGAAATTGGAAGTCTAAAGAGGAGGCAGCATGTCAATTAGGAGAACATCACAATAATTAGAGGCTCTAGTCAATAAAACTTAACTAACTTAAACGCAGAGGAATGTTATCTAAACACATAGTTCGTGATGGATATTCAAACTTGTTCTAGCTGAACAGTGAATAATACAATTGTCAAAATCAAATGCATAAAAGCCCTTTCATATAGGCCTAGACCCTCTATTATATATTATATCCTATCATATCATATTTGCAGGTCTTGTTGATCCAAGAATGTACAAGTCGGTAAAACAAGAGGTAAGGTTTCACTTAAAATTGTTAATTCTAAAAAGTAGAGCTTTGTATTTATTTCTCATTTATGAGCAAATAGCAATCATGAGTGCAATATGGTACAAGATTTTGCACGAGGTGAAAGATAAGAGAAGCTATATTCAACGAGGCGCAGCCGAGTTGAATGGAGCATCTCATCTTTCACCGAATGCAAAATATTGTTCCATTGCACGAATAAAGACCATTCATTATTTGTTTTATACAACACCTCAGACGTTAACGGGCTTAAAACAGTTTTCCTAGGCCTAAATCTCAGCGATTTTTTGTTTGTTTTCAATTGATGAAATTGCTGATAGTGAGCGTGCACTATTAAGCATACCATACCACGCGCCGCGCGTACCAACCTTTATGTTTATTGTTACGCAGAGTGCAATTTCGTTTGATCCTTTCGCTCCATTGCACTCCGACGTCACTTAGCTCACCATATACTTGTACATCGTTAGTGACGTCAGAGTGCAATGGTGCGAAAGGATCAAAAAAATTGCACTCCGCGTCAATGATGCTGTTCAATGGTACTTTTAGCGCATGTCATGTGATCAAGAATTGACCAATGAGGTTGCAAGAATCTTAGTAGGCGTTGTATAAATAATTTATAAATCAACAATCTGTTTGTAGGTTATTTGATCTGATCATTTTATTTCTTCTATTATGTAAACCATAAAATATTATGTTATAGATATTGTTACATCATTTATTTTATTATATGCTCTGAACAGTCATTTAATAAATTCCTTTTTAGTTCATGTTGTCAAGTTGTTGACCTTGTGATTTTTTGTTTTACTGTGGATTGTTTTGATATGCTTATATCTTTTTCCTCCATCAGCGTTTGTTGAATGCTGTAGAGGTTGGAGATCTTCAAGAGATCACCATCTCTCTTGATCTGGGTGCAGGGATCAATGATGTACCAGTAAGTGGTCAAAACATTCCAAATTCTACGGAATATATCCAAGGGTTCTGATCTAAGGGGAAGTCTACCATGATGACAAGTTGGTTTAATACCAGATTTGGAAAATTAAAAGAAACAATATGTGAAGTTTGTGGAAAGCCCAATAACAAAATTAGAAAGTTATGACTTTTTAAATTTGCAGTCGAATTAGCAATTTAGCAATTCTGTGGCGTCCTTTTCGAAAAACTCTTCATTTACTCTGCAAAACTATAAAGAGGTATAACATTCTGATTTTTCTTTGGATTTTCCTCAAACTCCCTTTTCCCTTTTGTTCTGCTTTCATAAAATCAGTCCTAACCTCCCTAAGGTATTTTGCAAGGATTTGACAGTAAGGAAAATTTAAGGAGGAAAGATTAGTAGATGATTTGATGCGGAGAATTTAAGAACCTGAGACCTCAGAAAATTATCCTCATCTGTTGCTAATTTAGTACTCACTACTGAATCAATACTACTGTATTTGCATCGATTACATTATGCTATAAATAATTAACCATAATCACATTTCCTTTTAATTGCCTTATTGATAATGCAATTTTGTTAGAATTGTATAAAGTAAATATAATCTAGATAAGTTCATAGTATGACTTTCATGAATCAAATACTTTTAGACCTCATATAAGGTCCGCAAATGTCCTTTTTTGGTAGTATGTATAATGAAAAATTAAATCAATGTGAGATTTTTTTTTCTATCTTTTATTTTCTCTCATTCTCTGTAGTGGGGAACAGAGTCCTTATTGATGAGAGCAATACGATGTGGGCACAAGGAGGTGGCCAAATTTCTCATCAGAAAGGGCATTGATGTAAATTATATTTATGTGGTGAGTGTACATGTAGATGCATTCCATAAGTTAATAATCCTCATTTAGTAGCTTAGCATGATTTATAGTGTAGCCTAGTTGTTTGGTATGATATATTATTATAGAACTTTCACTTTCAAAGATGATCATTTGCGATCTATAATCAGTCTAGATGACCTTTAACACACTGTCAACCAGAGAAAATATTACTTTGTATAGAATGTTAGGATCCAAACTTGTCATAAGTAGTGATGGATTGAAAGAACAAAATCTTCAGTTAGCATTATTCTTTTTAATTTTGTACTGCCTCATGTTGAAGTGTATGCTTTCAACAAAACTAATATCCATAATTGCCCTATTTAATCAAGTGTGTGTTTTTTTCAGTCTTTCCCGAAAAAAAGCTATGAAATTCAAGGGAATTTCATAATTATTCAGAGCTTTCTTACTATAATAAACCATACCATTATGGACTCATCATTGGTTCATTATCTTTGTGTATTCTTATTAGTCACATTTTACACCACACAGTTTTATGAAAAAGTTGTACACTGTAATATGATACCAAGATAATGACGATAGGATACTATTACATAGTCACATGATATATCAGGGACTGAAATAGTAACTTGAAATTCTTTCCTTATATGACTCCATTTCTCTATCTTTAGAAATCAGACTCTCCCAGAAGTGAGACAAAGAACTACAGACAAGAGACTGCGAGAGAGTACGCAGAGTTCTTCAAAATGCCTGAGATTATTGAGCTGATTGACGCGCGGCGGATAATACTTCAGGCAACTCTGTGATGAAGACATTTGTTTTATTCCAAACTCAGTTTTGGGGACATATGTGACCAATTCGTGGAGTGTAAGGAAAGAACATTGGGTGCGTTCACTTGATTTCTACTGAATCTTCTTAAAGGTGTAGCTGTAATTCATATTCCTTGTGTGGTCTTGACTGTCTTGGCTCTATTCACACTTCAATTATTCTCGTGAAAGAAAGCAAACTTGAAGATCACAATTGTTTCAGACAATATATTAATCAGTTAGGCCTTAATTGTTCTTGTTTACGTATGTTGTGGTCTAGTGGATAAGTCTCTGGAATGTGACAAGGTACATGGTTCAAATCCCTTTCACAGCAAGACATTCTGCATTTGCCACACTCAACCAGGTGAGCTAAATGAGTACCTGGTAGGATTATTCCTTGAAATGCACTATGCATAGATAACAGGGAAATAATCTCCAAAGCTTACAGGGATGTGAAATGGGCTATACGAGAATAGAATTTTTTTTTTCATTATTAAACCATGTCAAGCACTAGCAAAAGAGAAGCTATTTAACGTGCACTGAATTGCAAGTGGGAGTTTATTAAAATAACTGCGAGTGACAGAGGCCTACATACCCTAGGATATTAAGATTTTAAGTACAGATTTGTGACATGCACTTTGTTCATATTACATTTTGCTACACGTTTTTAGGCACTTTATCATTTCATGTATGAACAAAGCTTTAAGAGATATCAACAAATAATATGTGCACAAATATATACAGGAGGAAATGTGCAATTATTATGTAATTAGCAAACCAGCAAAATCAGTGAGTTTGGGGGACAAAAGTTTTCTTAAAGATCATTTATCCATAATGTACAATATGTGTAGTCACATAACATATGCACCCAAAATTTGCATCATGATCAGCATTTTAAAAGTACTTCCTGATAATTTCTCATGAAACGAAATTCTATTTTTGTAACTCAGTATTTTCTTGTAATAGAGTATCTAGAGATCATATTTCATGTTCTTCTTTTTGTCATGCCCTTAACATGTATCTACGCATCAGTATTTTAGAAGACAGAATGTATATATTCAAAGATGTTTAAAAAGACGAGAGCAGATCTTAATATTGAAAAAATATTACCATTAACTCATTAGAAATACCATATCATAAAAACAATCTAATATTTTCAAATTTCTCTCTCTATTTATATTTGTATTACATCTCTTTATAATGTATAAAATGTTTATGATTTCAGAAAAAAATATTAAGTGAGTCCTTTTCGACTAATACATGTTGTTTGGAATGGATGACAACAATAAGTCTACCCCATTGTATAATTAAAGCAATGTTCTCTCAATTTCTTGTTAACATGCTTTAAAAAGTGATGAGATATGAATCGCAACTCAAAATTTTCAGCACAAACATTTAAAGGAATATTTTTCAATGACGAATAGAAGCCCACCCCTCAGTCAAATGACATTCAGTTGTGCTTCCACCCCCCCTTCCCACACAGAAACAAAGTGAAATGCCATCATAAAAATTTTACTTGTGTTGTAGATATAAGTGCTTACTCTCTCATGTTATTTTGACACAATAAGTATAACTGTGAGCTGAATCATTGCGCAAAATTTAATTATATGTGATATATGATTGATGATTATTTTACATATTTTGTACTTTGTGTGTAAGTAAAAAGTACCAGATTTTGTTTTCTGTTAAGGAATTAATTTACATCAAGATATTTATCCAGCAGCAAAAGAAATCATTACTTTTGAGTCTTCTTTAAAGCAGTCTGTAAAAGCCCTTGATGAGTAGCCTTTTCTTGAAGAGAAGTATCTGATTGGGAGAGTTAATTGATTAAAACAAATTATGATTACATAATTGTTTTGTTTTCACTATGGTAGTAGCAATTCGACACTCTGTCACTCTATCGAACGGTCGGCCTCTACCCCCTCTATGTCCACCGTCATCACATCAACATACAGAGAGGTAAGGTATCTAAGAAGGTATATCAAATGTTGATCGAGTAGACGAGTAATAACTAAATTAGTTTGCACTGGCACTATTTTGTATGCTATTCAACAAATCGAGTTATGATCATGATAATTGCAATCAATTCAAAACATTTTGTTACCCCACTTCTTTCTTTTATATATATATATTTATATATAAATTTCTCTCTCCTCCCTCTTATCATCTCTCTCTCTCTCTCTCTTCCCCTTTCTCTCACACACTCTCTCTCCCTCCTCCTTTCTTTCCGTTTCTGTTTTATCTCTCTTTTATCTCCCCTTTGCTCTGTCTACTTCCTCCCTCTCTCTATATCTCTCTTTCTCTATCCCTCTCTCTCCCTCTCTCTTGTTATCTGTAGTCAACCATAACTTGCATTTGAAAATCAACATGACTTTTTTTTATGAAAAAGATTTTGTTTTCTTCTTCAGTGCAGTGGGAACGCCCTATTCTATTCATGCACATTGTCGTCATGTAAACAATGACTAGTCATCTATCACCCGTGGGAAGTCCTCTTCATTTATTTCACAGGGTCCCTTTTTGTCTGGACTGGCCAGTCAACTGGTCACTCCACATACCACGAAGTACTCAATCAGATTAAGAATATTCTTTCAAACGATTTTTATCACAGTGTCATATTCATTACACAAAATCATGGTTTTATAATTAAGTATTTCCCCTTTCGTATCCTTCTATTTAAATTATTGTATATTCATTACAAATTAATGAATACAGGAATCAATACTGAAATAATGATCTACTGGATAAGGCATATTTCTGTATGCATTTGCCATTGTCTATGTTCATGCGTATCGAATATAATATTATCAATTATGTGTTTTTATATAAATATATGTATATGATTACACATCATCTACCAAGTGAATACATTATGAATGAATAAATGAATTAGACTAGACTTTTGCTTTCTTATTGGTTAAATTATTTTAATTTGTATTTTATGATTCATGATATAATGTGGGGAGTAGGCAGTCATGAAAGACATGTTAAGTCCAATTGTGATTATGGTCATCGAATTAAAAGGTGAAAATCCCTTCATTAATAATTGATCATAATACATGCATATAATAATATAACTATGCACATTTATAGATTATCAAAAAAAATCCATTCCTAGCGCGCCCATAAATCTCTCTCCCTCTCTCTCTCTCTCTCTCTCTCTCTCTTCTCTCTCTCTCTCTCTCTCTCTTTCTCTCTCTCTCTCTCTTCTCTCTCTCTCTCTTTCTCTCTCTCTCTCTCTTCTCTCTCTCTCTCTCTCTCTCTCTCTCTCTCTCTTTCTCTCTCTCTCTTTCTCTCTCTCTCTCTCTCTCTCTTCTCTCTCTCTCTCTCTCTCTCTCTCTCTCTATATATATTTATATCTCCCTCCCTCTCTCTCTTTCTCTTTCTCTTTCTCTCTTTCTCTGAATTGTTATCCTCTCACGGTAAAAATAATATGTACTTTTCTTTCTTCTCTGTTCATCTTTATTTCTCTTTTTCCTCTCCTTATGCCTTATATCCTTATATCTTATACTTACTTTTATGTCTATATAAAGTTGTTGTCCCTTTAATATTGCAAAGTGATACATTTATACATCACCCTCCTGACACCATAATAAAATTGACATTAGCTATCATAAATATTACGGCTTCTTTCTAACGACTACTTTATGTCAACATGTTTTTATGAAAAACACCTTTGTCATTATCTACTCTTTTTTTTTAATGACATTTATTTTTTCTCATCACTGATATTTTTTAGTTGTTTATTCCCCATTGTTTCGCTTTTATGGCTTTACTTGAGAAGCAGACGAATAATCTATGCGGTGTCAAAATGTATACAGTGATAAGAATACTTGTTTGCGACTTTCATAAATATTTAGGGGCATTTCTATATGAAAGAGGATGCGCAGTTCTGAGGCTTTCCTTTAATCCCCACTGTACTACTTGTAGCTACTTGCTCCCTCTATATAGAAAACAATGCCTAATCAGTGACCATTGGTCCCCCATGATCCTCTTTTGCTTATGTTAATTGAGAGCTGAGTTCATGATATAGCCACCTGTCATTGACCTCGCTGGGTGGTCTAATCCCTTCTGACAGAACTAGTACAGAAGGCCTTTAACACACATAGGAAAGGTATTCGGTGAATCCAGACGGAAGATCAGGGCGGAATACTTGAATATCCCCGAACGAAATAGACTGATTTCTCCCTCTAATAAAAACTAACCGTCAACATTTGCACGCATACATAATTACAATAGTCCCATATTAGCATGGATGCTTTATCTTACATACATGTAAATGCCCTTCACCAACCCCCCCCCCCCCCCCCCCCCCTTCTCTCCCCCTCCCCCTCTCCCCCCTCCCCCACCTCTGCCCCATCACCTTTGTCCCATTAGACGACAAAATAGTGCAGGGATCGGTCATGCAAAAGTTCATCGCCATTTATTGTGCAAGTATGGCTATAGATGACGGGGAAACCCCAAATCATTAGAGCTAGAGACCAGATTGCCCCCACGCAGACGAGGTCACCATGACAACCAAACATTAGTGTTCAATGCAATAAATAATTTGAGTTATTTGAGTTTTGATTTATATTTGAGCATATCATTTTTAATGTTGGTTAATCGAAGATCAAGCATGTCAGTCTATCGTCTGATTTAGTCTAGTATTATTGTGTATTATTTGATTTAACAAAAATTGAATTCGTCAGGGAGGTGCCTACATGTTCTTTGTGACCTTCACGAATTCATGAAGACCGAAAACAATGTTGTCTTAAGATGATACGACTGACCCATTGCATTAATTGAATACAAAACCTCTCTCTCTCTCTTCAACATCTTGAGTATTTGAAATAGTTATTGATTTTCAATGGACTGATTAAGAGGTATATCTATCAATTTTTCAACTTTTTCGGCGATATGGAGATAATACTAATAATAATCACAATAATGTTAATGACGTTCACCAACACAAATAATCTGATTGAACTACAAGTCACATAAAACAAGATAACATACATTAAAAACAATCAACAAAGGTTGCAATAAATGAATTAATGTACAAATTAGCTAATTAAGTAATGAAACAATTACAAATAAATAATTATATAAGTGAATATATAAATGAATAAATAAATTAGACTAGCCTGTTGCTTTCGTTTTTAAATTATTTGAATTTGTATTTTATGATTCATGATATAATGTAGGGAGTAGGCAGTCATGAAAGACATGTCAAGTCCAATTGTGATTATGGTCATCGAATATAAGATGAAAACCCCTTCATTAATAAACTATCATTGTACATGTATATAATAATATAAACATGCAAATGTATAGATTTTTTTTTTAATCCATCCCTAAAGCGCGCCCATACACCTCTCTCTCTCTCTTTCTCTCTCTCTCTCTCTCTCTCTCTCTCCCTCTCTCTCTCTCCCTCCCCTCTTTCTCTTTCTCTGTCTCTTTCTGTCTATCTTTTTTTCTCTCTATCTCTCTCTCTCTCTCTCTCTCTCTCTTTCTATTTATGTTTGACTCTGTCTCTTTCTCTGCATTGTTATCTTCCCACGGTAAAAGTAATGTGTACTTTTCTTTCTTTTCTGTTCATCTTTATTTCCCTTTTTCCTCTCCTTATGCCTTATATCTTATACTTACTTTTATGTCTATATATGGTTGCTCTCCCTTTAACATTGCAAAGTGATATATCACCCTCCCGACATCATAATAAAATTGACATTAGCTATCATAAATATTACGGCTTCTTTCTAACGACTACTTTATGTCAACATGTTTATGAAAAACACCTTTGTCATTATCTACTTTTTTTTAAAATGACATTTATTTTTCTCTTCATTGATTTCTTTTACAATTTTTTATTCCCCATTGTTTCGCTTTTTTCATGGCGTTTTTTGTCACGCCTTTTTTTTGTCGTGATTTTAAAGGAAATACAAGCACGGCGAAAACATACACCTAATAGTTTGTTTTCTGCACAGTACTCTTATTCTATAATACGAATAATATATGATTTTTTTTTTTAAAGTAAATAAGTTGCTTTATTCATTTTTGAACAATATATAATTTGCCTTTACTCAATCAAAAACAGAAATTGAGAAGGAATACTAGTTCATCTGACCTTTCTGATATCAATCCCAGTGACGTAGCTATACAAAAGTCATATTGCATGGGGTACATGTACGTGCCCCCACAATCGCTAAGAACAGAAATTTTAAAAAAAAGCAGAAAGTGAGAGAGCGGTAGATATTGAAGACAAAATCTGAAACGATCCAAGCTAGTATTGCAAAAAAGGTAAACAATAAAAATTTATTTTGAAGAATCTTTCTTTCTTGTTTTAATAAAAAAAAAATCATATATTTAGTTCTAAAATGAGCAGTAATTTTCAAATACCAGATTGTAAAAAAAAAAATCCTTAATCTCGCTTTCCATGCATCAGCCTTTCAAAATTTCAATGAGAATCGTTGACGTGTGTTAAATATTATTTCATTATTCCTCCGTTCATCGTCTGGGTAGATGAATAATTTTTAAAGAAAATGTATATCATGGCTTTATTTTAGAAGCAGACGAATAATCTATGCGGTGTCAAAATGTATACAGTGATAAGAATACTCGTTTGCGACTTTCATAAATATTTAGGGGCATTTCTAAAAGAGGATGCGCAGTTCTGAGGCTTTCCTTTACATCCCCACTGTACTACTTGTAGCTACTTGCTCACTCTATATAGAAAACAATGCCTAATCGGTGACCATTGGTCCCCCATGATCCTCTTTTGCTTATGTTAATTGAGAGCTGAGTTCATGATATAGCCACCTGTCAGTGACCTCGCTGGGTGGTCTAATCCCTTCTGACAGAACTAGTACAGAAGGCCTTTAACACACATAGGAAAGGTATTCGGCGAATCCAGACGGAATGTCTTGGTGGAATACTTGTATATCCCTGAACGAAATAGACCGATTTTTCCCTCTAATAAAAACTAACCGTCAATTCAACATTTGCAAGCATACATACTTATGATAGTTCCATATAAACCTGGATGCTTTATCGTACATACATGTACATGTTCATGTACTTCGATAAGCTCCTCCCCCCCCCCCCTCTCCTCCTCCCCTCCCTCCTCTCCCCCCCCCCCCCCCCCCGACCTCTACCTCATCACCTTTGTCCCATTAGACGACAAAATAGTGCAAGGATCGGGCATGCAAAAGTTCATCGCCATTTATTGTGCAAGTATGGCTAGATGACGGGGAAACCCCAAATCTTTAGAGCTAGAGACCAGACTACCCCACGCAGACGAGGTCACCATGACAACCAAATTGAGCGTTATTGTGCCACCATGTTGTCCGGGAAACATTATTGTTCAATGCAATAAATAATTTTGGTTCTATGTTTGAGCATATCCATTTTAATGTTGGTTTGAAGTAGATCAAGCATGTCAGCCTATCGCCTTATTTAGTCTAGTATTATTGTGTATTATTTGATTTAACAAAAATTGAATCCGTCAGGGAGGTGCCTGCTTTGTGACCTTCCCGAATTCATGAAGACCGAAAACAATGTTTTCTAGAAAACCCCGATTAACCCATTGCATTGATTTAAGGAAAAAAAAACCTCTCTCTTCAACATCTTGAGTATTTGAAATATTTATTGATCTTCTCAAAGGAACGAGCTATAACTACCAATTTTTCTGCTTTTTCGGCGATATGGAGATATTATGATAATCATAATAATGATAATGACGTTCACCAACACAAATAATCTGATTGAACTACAGGTCACATAACACAAGATAACATACATTAAAAACAATCAACTAAGGTTGCAATGAATGAATGAATGAATAAATTAGCTAATTAAGTAATGAAATAATTAATAATAAATAGTTATATGAATAAAAATATAAAAGAATAAATAAATTAGTGAATTAATGAATAAATAATAAATAAAAAGGAAGAGGATTGACCGAAAGAACACAAGTAAAAACGAGTCATTTGGAACGATTTATAATACCTTTTTTTACATTATTCAGAAGAAAATCAAATTACTTGAAAACACAGTCCCTGTTTCAAGCCAGGACTAAAACTTACACGCTCTTGGGCGTATCATAGTATCAACGTGTAGAGCGTAAATGATAGCAAAAGCTATCACTTTCGTTCATTATAAAACGAGACGCTTTCCAATCAGACGCGATCTGTATCTAGAAGACCTTCCTGTGCATGTATAGCATGACAAAGTGATACATTTTTGTTGGAGGGGCCAAATACTTTTTGATATTCTTTTCCTAGTTGGTCTTTACACCCAAAACGCACAATGAATTAACTGTCTGTTTTATGACGACCGTTGCTATGTACAAAATTAATAGGATCTCTATCTGCCCCCTCCCCCCCCCCCCCTTTATATCTTTCTTTCTTGTAGGCAAGCAATCTGATATGGTTAGGAATAATGGCATTCATAATACAATAGCTCAGATGAGGTCGATTCGTTTAATTTTCACAATTGTCCTGACGTCCCTGGTAGCGAATATGAACAGCATTATAATGAATTCAATTAAAGTACATGTATGTCCTTTCTTCAGTCTGCTGTATTAACAGACGACTGTCACTTGTATTTGACTTCATCAGCTGAATCCAGGGGAGTAGCCAGAATTTCTTGAATGGGGGGGGGGGGGGGTGCATCATTTTGTTGTGTTCCAGTGCGTTAAATATTATGCTTATAATTATATAGAATTCTACAAGGGAGCGTATCGACTGAGCAAAAAAAGCACTTTGAAGTATAAAAACGTGACATCTCGATAAGAATAGCTTATGCAGTGATACTAATTATAATAAATCAATTTCTGACCCCCTCCTTTCATGGGGGCACTTGGTGGCGCTAATTTTTGTTGTAGGGGACACGTGTCCCAGGCTTCTCTGGACCCAAACGTTCAGATTCAGATAATGAATCAAGTTTTCTGAATCTAATAATGTATTTTGTGACTATTGATTATTATGGTATTTTTCACCTTTAAGCGTGTGGGGAAGTAAACCAACAAAATAAAGAAGTATTTTGTTTTTAAATAGAAAACAACAAAGTTTTTTTTTTTTTCTTCAATAGACCGACAGCCCATTAACCGACAAAATAGACAAATACACAGGGAAGGTATATAGACAAATGTCGGTTTGGTGAGCTGTAACCAGTAACTTAATCCTTAAATGAAATGGGGGGGGGGGGTGAAATAAAAAGGCAAAATATTTGAATAATCATAGAGAGGGGCAAAATTAGAGAAACCACTGACTATTACAGAAGAGAAAGAAAGAGAGAGAGAGAGAGAGAGAGAGAGAGAGAGGGAGAGAAGGGGGGGGGGCAGGCTTGTGTTAGGATGAGATCTCCTGCTGGTGTGTGCATCAGAGCCAACACATATAAATCACTGTATTTACATGTATAATAATGCTTCAGCAAGGCTGCGCAAAAGCCGTACTTGTTGTCTCTTCTATGTGCCTATAATTTTATGCCTTTGGCCCTTACGTTTTCTAGATGACGTCATAGAAATCTTTCGCGTTCTCTGCACAAGCCTGTGCTGTTCCTGACCATAAAGAAAGTGGCATTGATTAAGAAAACATCAATACTTTGGAGAATGTTTGTTGTGAAAACAAACGGCGTCAAATAGAAGTCCAAGTCCTTGGCTTCGATCCACAGGGAAGGTTGGTGGTGCTGTATGTGTTCTTACAAGGGAAATAACTCCACGAGAAAACACCTGCAAGAGTCGGCCCCGTGTGGAAGCTTAACAGGTGCGTTTTGTGTTTTCATGCCACTTTCATTTTACCGAATATTAGTATTTTTTATGAATTTGTTTTCTATTTTTATGGACTATTAGACCGGGTTTAGAAATCAGGATAGACTTATTATATCACTGCTTAAAATCATTACCCAGTTTTATTTTTTGTTATTTTAAGCGTAATTCGCTTACCCTCAAGCATGCAGTCCACTTCTACGCTAAAAAAATAACCGATTCACATGCATTTTAATATATTGTGCGGGAAGTCCTTGTTTTGTATTTATGTTTTATATCTTACAGAAATTACAATGATGAAGATGATAACAGTGTATTAAAAGTGTAAAATGTTGCTGTAATCTATTGCCATTAGACCTACATGTATCTGTCAGTCAAAGATAGATTTTCTTCCAAAAAGAATTACATTTACAATATTCAAATAAAAGTGTAGAGAAATATGAGTTAATCCAAAACTCTGGTTTATGTTACAGATACGGAGGCCGGTTTAAGATCCCATGAAACAAAGAGCTTGTGTTGGGAATGCTTAAATGATATATGAACGTAAATATATATGTGTTCTGAAATGAAACTTAAACTCTTTGCTATAAAATAGATCTTTAAAAAAAAAGGATTAAACGGCCTCTATACCTCTGTTGACGTATACTTATTTTCTTGTATCCGTACACATGGTGATAGTTTTGTCCTTCTCTCGATTAAATCTGGTCCAGAGCTTAAAAGCTTTAGTAAAGCCCCAGTTACCTCGATCCAGTTACCAAGAAACACTTCCTTAAATTGTAAGAAAGTGAGAGATCTCAAAAAATTTCTAAGGAATCGCAATGAATGGCTCAGCTCAAGTAGACGTATCCATGTGTGCATTTCTCTGGTCTTGTCTTTGCTCAACCGATCCCTTGCGTAATAGTAAGATTTTGCCTCCCCCCCCCCTTTTTTTTCCCCTTTGTGAAATGATATACAACAACCAAAAATTCCATATTCATGTAATAGTGTCTGCTTCATATTTGGTTACAGCCTTTTCTTTTTTCGGTCTCTTTCTAAACGGTTGCAATAGTTATATATATATCTTTGTACAACCTCTTTCTTAAAGAGTTTCCTATACTACAACTGTATTGCAACTTGATAGCGTACGGTATAGTGACGAAGTCAAGAACACGGAGATAATAGCTTCATAATTATGTAGGCCTACATATTCACTTGTCACCTAATGATGTAACCTATATTACACTTGTTGCACATTATTTACTAATTATACAGGACACGGTGTTTAAGGGAGGCGTTTTTTTATAAATATCTTTGTCATATTTTATTACACCGTCTTAAGCAGCGTAATACCACAACTATATCCTGAGTCTACAACCCTTCTCAATTTCGTCACCCATCGACTGAATATGATTCTTAGAAGATCGTGTTCAGTTTGACCTTTGACATCGTTACCAGGGTGATTGGATTATTCACCGCACTTGGAATTGACCTCTTTGTAGAATGAATACACTCATTCATATTTCATGTATTATCAAGGAATACCGAATACGTATCTATATATCATTGCTAACTTAATACACATTAACTAGGGAAACATTATTATCGTTATTATTATTGTCATTATTATTAATATTACTATTACTGTCATCATTATCAGTATCATTATCATTATGGTTATTGTTAATGGTGGTAGTAGTAGTCGTAGTATCAGTAGTCGTAGTCACAGTAGTAGTAGTAGTAGTAGTAGTAGTAGTAGTAGTAGTAGTAGTAATAGTAGTAGTATTTATTTCCGTATAAAAACAAAATAACAATGCATGAGATACGGCCCACATTCAGCTTACCCGACATGGGAAAGCTGGTCTTACGTGGGGTCCGGAACAATTACACAAACAAAAAACAATGACAGAACATAAATACATATCTGAACAACAGTAATACATTTTGGGAAAGAAAAAAAAAAGAAGAAGAAGAAAAAATGCATAAAAACAAATAGTAGTAGTTAAATAAGTAGTAGTAGTAATTATAGAAGTAGTAGTAATAGTAGTAGTAGTAGTAGTAGTAGTAGTAGTAGTAATAGTAGTAGTAGTAGTAGTAATAGTAGTAGTAGTAGTAATAGTAGTAGTAGTAGTAGTAGTAATAGTATAGTAGTAGTAGTAGTAGTAGTAGTAGTATTAGTAGTAGTAGTAGTAGTATAGTGGTTGTGTATTGGAGTCATTCGTCAATGGCAGTACATTAATACTGCCGACTACCCAAACTTATATTTTTAAGATGATAATCATCACTGATTTCTGATTTCTATGTGTAAATGCTCCTTGTGCACCATGTTTGATTTTCTGCAATTTAAAAGAAACGAATCCAGAACTAAGACACATTTTCTCGGCGTACAATATGATTGAAATTGAATTCCTATGTTTTCCACTTTTTAAAATAATTCACAATTAAGGTATACAATAGGAGATTTCTTACGATATTAGTAAGAAAAAAAACTTGTATCTTGCAGGGAGAGTTGACAGGAACGAGTTGACAGAAACTTACCTGGGCCCTCGGTACGTGTCACAACCCCCCCCCCCCCCAAAAAAAAAAAAATAAATAAATAAATAAATAAATAAATAAAATAAATAAATAAATAAATAAAGGGGGAAAGAAAGGAAGAATCATGGGCTGATAAACTTTTTTTTTTTTTTTGGGGGGGGGGGGGCTTAATTAAGCCCCCTCCCCCTGCCAGAGAATCGTGGCCTCGCCACTGCTGGGCTATCTATCTGCATGCTAGATCCCTGCAACTGTAATTAAAAACTCCCTCATGCTTTAGCGCCTTATCATGGCGGCTGAGCTACAGCCGGGATAATTAAATGATAATTTGTAGTAGAGTATATATTCGTATAGTTATAAATGGACATATTAGTATCATTACTCGTGGCTCCAACTTCACCTTTACCATAAATGCACCATCCCCACATATTATCATTGAATGAGTCATGATGCAATATATATAGAGCTTTCATAAGTTTACGACATGAAAACCTTTTAGCAAATAGTCATTATCGACTACACCAAAATTTACAGTACCGAAGTCAGTTTGAACCGCCCAAACTTTGAAACTGTATGATTCTTTTTGAATTCCTCTTCTTTTCTCTTTCTTTATTTCTTTCTTTCTTTATTTTCAAGTCAAAGAGAACAATACTTAATCAAAAATTATGATTCAGGATTTTTCCTAGAAACAAAGTAAGTTAATGACACAACGAACATTTAACAAACAACGTGTTATCATGCTTATTCAAACACTTGTTTGAAAGGCTTTTATGGCAATCTCAAGCATCATACTTCATTAATACATAATACATAAGATTTGAAAGGCGCCAAATCCACTGGACAATCATTAATGCTCATTTACGGAGCTTGGTGCGTCTGTTGTAACCATAGCAACATAAGCTCAGCAAGCCATTTGGCTGTTCCGGCAGGTGTGTTACAATGAATGAATTGAAAGGCAACTAACTGATCTTAGCAGAGAGTCTCGTCTTCCATCTCGACACAACCTCCCCTGCATGGGGCAGACGCGGTTCCAGAAGAATAACTTTTGGTCGAGGGGCGTGTAGGGGCTTAAATGTTCTTTCATTCATTTTCCACATGTGCCTCGCTTAAATTCATAAATAATCAAGATCTTTTTTTGTGAGTGTGGAGCCGCCAAGCCCCCTACAGAGCTGCTACTGCCCTCCTCTCCTTTCTATGTTCTAGCAATACAGGATCAATAGTCTACATTGGAGATGAATCATTTAGGAACCTAACAAAGAACGTTATACCAACCTACATTCTCGCTAAACCTCTACTTTTTGTGAACCAAAAAAAACCCCACCAAAATAACACATCGGGAAACGCTTGTTTGCGAGAAATTAAAGAGAGATCATAATAGAGTTCAAATGACGAGTTATATAAATGTATGAATTTGTTTTATTGATGTGGCATTCTGACCCCACCTTGATATCGGAGTATTTTGACCTTTTTAAAAATCGAAATCAAAACAATGGAACAATACCTTGGCTGATAGACAAGCAACAATCTGGCTAGAAATATGGTTGTTAAAGTCACAAAATTAAATAAAGATTGACATAAAATCAAGGAGAGAGTAGCATCTTTAAAAACGTTGAGTTTACGGAGGTAATATACAATGATGGGCGAGGGTGCAGCTTAAAAGGGCAGGTACTGGCGTCATGGGAAGGGGGGGGGGGGGTCGGTCTCAACAGGTATACAAAAGGCGAGAGAACAGGGTCATTGAGTAAGGGGATAGTGAAAAAGGGTCTTGTGCCATCTTTTCATGTTGCCCCCTCTCCATTTCTTTCTCTTTAATTCTCTTTATCTATTTTTTTATTTGCTATTTGATGTGGAAGGCGCTCCTTGCCATCTGAAGTTACACCATCGGCAATATATATTTCTAGTTGCAAAAGGTTTTCAAAAGTTCATGTACTGTGACTTTAGTCTCCTTGAATTGAAACGGAATTTTATTATGGTTATCCTCTCATAAAATATGAAACTCGTGTATGTTTAAGTCAAGTCACGTCGATCATGGCAGATAAAGAAACGTTGGACTTTATATAATGGGAGGATAAAGACTGTAGAACGTACTAGACTTATAGCTCGTGTTACAATATAATAATACACATACATGTTATAGTTCTTCTTTACAATACCATAACAAACATCAGGTATTGTTCATTTTAGTTTTACAATCATTACGTGCCTAGTTAAAATAATTGTCCTGTCTGCAATAAAACACCACTTCGGTATGCTTTATAAGACCATAACATATATTGTTCAGAGTTTCATGTTCTGTTTCGGTTTGTTATAGATATCATGTTTATCAGGAGACTGTATTTCCACAATGGATTGTCCTAATTGTCCCTTAGTATCAGTCTTGTTGTATCATGCATGTTGGTCAACTTGAACATGTATTTATTACACGTTTACTACCTCGGTCACACCGTTAAACCGACTCAATACCGATCGAATCTTGGCCAATGTTAGAACATTTCGGTCTGTCGTCGGTCAGGTGTCGGTCTCGTAAGTGTGACTGGAATACATTGCTTAACTCTGTAATATAAATGAATCGGTTACCCAAGCTCACCGCCCTGCCCCTTTGGCAAACAAACCAGTGAAATTAGATATTTGGAATCCGTGATTCTTCGATTCACGGTGTCAGATTTCATCTCGACTTATTATGTCAGGGTATATTATATCATATCATGATTAATCGTGCGGTTGATATTAATATTTCATATTCTCCCTCCCTCCCTCCCTCCCTACAACACCACATTATTTGACATCCAATTTATTTCGTTAGAAACATTAGGCCTACTGGTCGAAGAAGTCATTAACTATTGTTATACTTGGTACTTGGTTGTTGTTCCTCCAAAAGATTCCTAGTGGAATTTAAACTGGAGGTCGAGGTGGCAGAGGGTGGACTTATACAACGCCTACTAAGATTCTTGCAACCTCATTGGTCAATTCTTGATGAGCTAAGTGACGTTAGAGTGCAATGGTGCGAAAGGATCAAACGAAAGTGCACTCCACGTAACAATAAACATAAAGGTTGGTATGCGCGGCGCATGGTACGCGCGTGGTTTGCTGCCTGCTTAATAGTGCGCGCTCACTATCAGCAATTTCATCAATTGAAAACAAACAAAAAAAATCGCTGAGATTTAGGCCTAGGAAAACTGTTTTAAGCCTGTTAACGTCCGAGGTGTTGTATAAAAACAATTATAAAATGGCTCTAGTATTTTAAGCATCGTGATTGGTCAATACGCGTCACATGACATTGAAAAAATTTTGATGCAAGCACGATTTTGCAGAAATGAGTGCAGAAAAAGCGCAGTAAAAAGTTATATTGCACGGTGCGTACGCGTGACCATGGAGATCCAGTGCGCGCGCGTACGTTTAGTACGCGCTCCCTCGAGTTGCATTGCAATTATTGTAGGCTACGCGTAGCTAATATTGTACGCTCCACCATGATCCCCAGCGCAACGCACGCGTAGCTAGCTCTAGCTAGCTAGCTAGCTAGAGCGGCCAGCGGGGTATTATTAAAAAGCAAATTTTTATTTTACTTTTGCCTTGGATTTAGGCCTGTTTTGACTTTTGGATTTTATAATGAAGCCAGGAATTTCAGCTGTCTGATGTAGACTCGTCTCTAGACCCACTGTATGGATTTTATTTTTAATCAAGGCAATGAATCCCATTGACTTTTTGGTAAACCTGCAAGGTCTTAGTCTAATTCATGAATTAGAAGTAGAACCAACATAACTCTAGATCTAGATCTAGATCGAACTCTCGTAGACTCTAACTTATTAGATTTAAAGTTTCGTTTTTGCTATTTGTGTCGCTATTTTATAAAACAAATAACGCACTTGACCCTGTTGTGCAAAACGTAAATGCAGTAAACGCTCGGTTTCTTCAGATGGTTCGCACTGTCAACCCCGGTGGGGTCACTCAATGTGACTTCCGGACCGCATGACCGTTACCAAAATCGCGGAAAAAGGGGTCAGTTTCAAGCAATGTCCGCGGACAAAATATTCCTCGAAATTAAGAAAATAGGGGCGCACATGTGTCCCCGAAATTGATAAATAGGGGTCAGGAAAAGGAAAAAGAGAAAACCGGGAAGGGAAAAGAGAAAACGGGGAAGAAAAATTCTCGGAGCCGAGTCTTGTCCTTGAAATATGGTAAAATAGGGGTAAATTTGCGAAAGTGTCCTTACAATCTTATAAATAGGGGTATTCCAAAGTACGATTTTGTCCTTGTTTTGACGTAAAAAAGGGGGTTAAATTTCACAAAATGTCCTTGAAATTGACCGCAAAAGGGGGTTATATGCATTGGTGGTAACGGTCATACGTGTCACTCTTTGCAGGGGAGTGACCCCACCGGGCTGTCAACTCGCCGCAAGCGGCTCGTTGCACAGAGCGGCACCAATCTAAAGAAACCTCGCGCGTACTGCATTCACCGCTATTGCACTCTGGGACGTGCGTTATTTGTATAATAGTGAATGGTCTTTATTCGTGCAATGGAACAATATTTTGCATTCGGTGAAAGATGAGACGCTCCATTCAACTCGGCTGCGCCTCGTTGAATATAGCGTCTCTTAGCTTTCACCTCGTGCAAAATCTTGTACCATTGCACTCATGACCATTCACTATTTGTATACTACACATTACTATTACAGTATTACTGTACTGTTGAATAAAATATATACAAAAATTCTATGTTCAAGTTCTCACTCTTTTCTACAACAAATCTTATCAGATTATTTACTTCCTCATTTCCCCATAGGTGGTTTACATCAGTTGGTCGATGGACGACAGATAAGAATTGATTGCTATCGATTGCAACCGATCACTTCGATAAGGACACTTCTCGTCAGAGTAACACATTTCAACAATCTAACTCTCAAAGGGATCTTTCAAAATGTGTTCTATCGCTGGTATTAAGGTCTTACTTTTCATCGAGAACTTCATATTTTGGGTGAGTACTGTTTAGTAGGGAATATTAAATGTAGCCAATAAGCACCTAAGGTTAATTTTAACTCGTACATAAAAACGCTCAGAGATGGCAGATGTCATAATGTAACCTGGTAATATTAAATTTTAAATGAAAAGCTTGATGCGGTATAGACCTCTAGCAGGAAAACAGAAGCAATCATTACTTTACGTAATCATCATTTTACCTAATCATCATAAGGGATTTTTATTCATGGTTTGAGACAACTAGTCGGTTTTTACTAACTAATATACTATCTTGTAAGTTCTTGATTTTTTGTGCAAATATTATGTGCACTACCCAAATTTAAAAATAATTATAACATTATTATTACAATTAATGTCCACCACGATTTCGAACTGTTGCCTAACTGCAATATATTTCCGTATCATGCGCATACCCTGAAGTAACAAAATATATTTTGACTATAGTCATTTAAAACCTGATTATAGTTTTAACCATTCCTCCTCAGTATTGACGAAGACATGTACATGTACTTTGCTTCGTCAATCCAGATACTACATGAGGAAATACATTTCAATGATAACTGCGTTGGTGTTATGTTAGATGTCGTTTGTGTAGATTTAAGGAGAAGCATTAAACAAAAAGACAATTAGTTCTGAAGCCTCAGTTTCAGTCCAAGCGGTCGTAATAAAATAGCCGTTAGGTGACAGAAATAACTGATATTGATGACTCTCAAAACTGAAAATTGCATCTCCGCGGTAACAGTCAAACATAAGTCTTATACCCTCAACAAGGTGGTAAGTGTAGCACCTATAATTATGTTGGTTGTTGTGCATAGAAACTATAATTGTGTGACACTAATATGCTAGCATTACCAGGACTTTTAAATTATGAACATAAGTTTCCCCATTATCAAAAGCAGCGATCATCTTACCAACGAATGCTGCTTCAAGAGTCCATGCATAATATGTTTTTTTTAATCAACATTTTAATTAATATTGTAGGGATTGTCTGTCATGATTTGTCTCTTTTAACCCTTTGCCTACTGGAACCAGGTGGCTCCTGTGTTAAGCCTATGTGAATGAGAGAATTCAGAAGTCAACGGGTTAACATGATTGATATTCTTTTGCTTTCCTTACGGAAGTTATAAAAACCCAAGACGGGCTTATCTTCATTACGAAGCTTGTGATACGATACGATGTTATGAAACATGTGAAAAGACCTTTAGTATAGCTACGAGCTATTCGAAAATAAGAGCAAAGGCCAAATGGAACGAGTAAAAAAAAAGTGTTGAGAAATGAGATGTTAACCAATGTAATGCTAGGCTTAGTTCTCGCTTTACAGAAACTTGACAAAAACTGGCAATTCTTTCGTCAGTATATCATCAACCCTTTCACATAATAAGTCACCAGACAGGTGTATTTTTTGTGTGGAGGCTTTGGATAATAAACTAAACAATTATTCTGACTCTCTCCCCTTTACAGCTGATTGGAAGTGGTCTCCTAGGGATAGGTGTGTATCTCCTAGTGGCTACTAGCTTACCCGGGATTCTACAGTTCTTGCAAGGAGCTACGGTAAGTAATTTTGTATACACTGATTGGATTGTGCCCCCTCCCCCCCCCCCCCAAACTTAGAAAGAGAGAGAGGGAGAGAGAGGGAGAGAGGGGGAGAGAGAGAGAGAAAGAGAGAGAGAGAGAGAGAGAGAGAGAGAGAGGGGGGGGGGGGACTCGGGGAGAGGTAAGACACACCCAATGCCTCCACCCCTCCCCTTAATTGGATCCGCCGAGATTGTTTAGTTGCTTTGTTTAGTTTGCTTGTTACTCCATTTGTTTTTAAGGGGGAAGAGAGTAGGGGAGAGGGAGGTCAAAGAGGAAGGACAAGGGCGAGGGGGAGGGAGAGAGAGAGAGAGAGAGAGAGAGAGAGGGAGAGAGAGAGAGAGAGAGAGAGAGAAGGGGAGGGAGGGAGAGGCGGTAGCATATGATTTTAAAGATCAACTGACATAATCATGATAATACATTCCATTAATACCCATCACATATTGTATAACGAGTTGAACTGCACTCTCTCGTTTGGCGGTTTCTCTTTTCGTTTACTAAATATCACTAGAATTGACCAGAATGATTAGAAAACTAGGTCTTATTGAAATGAAATCCATGTTTCCTTCATTAAACTTGTGGGTGACTAATCTACAGTCTTCTCTCTCATCAGCTTACACACAAAAAAAGCTTCACATGCAAGGCAGACGTCACGCAACATAAATCCTTTTGTATTACTATATTCTTGCATAAACATGCTTGTGTAGGAATGTTTTTTTTTTTTAAAATGTATTATCGATTTGATATTTGACATGATAAAATGACAATACGGGTCAATTGGAATATCGACTTGAACATTAGTAGCATTATCATCGTAACAATCTTATAGTTTGAATGATGCCCTCAGTACCCCTTGGTTTTCTTTTGATAGTGACCATTTTAATGTATAACCTGTCCTTTATAGCACCTGTTTGTGACACCCTCTACATGCAAAGGAAGTAATCATTTCTACAGAATATACCAGGGACTGTCGGCAGTCATAGCATTAAAATCACATGGCGAATAAACGTAATTTATGCACACGATATGGAGGGAGATAGGTAGTCATAAACACAAAGTGATTAGTATTTCTATACAGGGATGGCTCTGATGAGTATAGGAGTCTGCGTTACGACCTTGTGATAGTGCAATTTAATTGATCAAACAATTATGAGAGTGTAATAGAGCAATGAGAGAAAGAAACACGGTATTCATAATTAATAGACCGCCGGCCGGGTTCTATTGATTCCCTGCATGCTAATTGACTGATTATAAAACGAAAGTGGTAATATTAATATCATCAGTATCTATATGCCTGGGTATGACGTCTTCAACGTCCAGCTCGCATCCTCACTTCACAGTTTCTAATGAATCATGTTCATAAATCTCAAAAATGACAAATTGTAAAATCCCCCCCCCCCCCCAACAAAAAAAAGTTTCATGAAGAAAACAGTTTGTGGGGACATATAAAACTAGAGTTATGTTAATAGTTTTTTTTTTTAGAAATGTAACGCTAAATGAAGGAAAGGTATCATTGATACGATCAAAAGTTGAAACTAAAACTTTTCAACACCTTGTGTTATCTGTGCACCTCTAAAGTTGATATTCAATTTTCTAAAAAGAGTTATTCAATTGAAATGCTTTTGAACAATATGATAATTGGAGCATATTTACGCTGGGTTGTCATTATAAGCTGTGTATATTCAATCATTCATTGCTCGTAATATTATTATGTAGCACGTGAGATTATGTTTCCATGCCCTCTTACTCTACAGAGCGGAAATTATTTTGATTATAGATGTAACTGTAGTGTATAAATCAATGTATTTTTTTATCAAAGATATCTAAAAAGAAATGGCACGACTCGGTCCTTTCTGTAATACAATGATTTATCTCTTCTTATTTTTTCAACACCAGAATAACATTGCATTCAATATACATGATGTTCATTTACATTAAAGATCAATCCAGTAACATTGTGCTTTTTATTTTTCATCTTTTGCAGAATAATTATTCAATTATCTTCCACACAATTTTGTATGCTATTATTACAGACCCTGTGCTACATTGCCATTGGTGCCGGTTCCTTCCTCTTTATTCTCGGTGAGTTTTGTTTCCTTTAGCATAATACTAGGAGTCCACTGGGCTAGCGCCAGTTGGTGCCAGTTCGCGCCAAAGATTATGTGATTGGCGCGTAGTGGCTCGCTGTTGCGCCGAATTAATGTCCGCTCGGCATGTAACGCCAAGTGGAATAAACTGGGTGCCATATTATGGCGTGCGCTAAATGCCCCCCGGCTTGCTCCAAAATGTTGCGCCAGTTTGCGCCAGTTCGCGCCATTACACGGCCATTTGATTCCAAAATTCACCCTGTTGGCGTCATTCGCGCCAATAGACGGCTACTTTGCGCCACTTGGTGATTAGTTTGTGCCAAAGTTTCAGACATTTGAAATTTTCTTGCCGCCACATTCAAATTTGGTGCCGTTACGGGCCACCACGAGCCAGTTGGGAGGCAGTTTGAGCCACTACACGCCACTAGGCACCTTATTGGCGACACTAGGCGCCACAGTAAATTGCATTGGCGCAAACTGGCACCAACTGGCGTTGGCCCAGTGGACTCCTAGCATTAGAATGACGTCACGATTTAACAATAAAATGCACAAAGTCCATTAAATGTTCCAATCACACTTCCGAACAGGCTCCAAACCGCCCGGTAACCGACCAATTCCTGGCTATTGATTCGCTGTACTGTCTTTTTTCTTCTTTTTTCTATTTCGATCTAATTATTGTCGATCTGGCGTCAATCTACATTGTAGTCAATGGTTAGACAGCGATTAGCATAGGCGAGTGAAAGGAATACAAAGAGAATATAGATAAAAAAAGAAATGAACCAATACAATAAGATGACGGGTATAATCATTCCATTTATCCCACGTAACGTCAAAATTTCGATATGGCTACTATTAAAGGTATAACAAATTGTAAATAAACGTAAGTAAACAAACAACGAAATGTCAATAAATGATAGATTATAATGATATATAGGTTTCCTTCTTGTATATAATGGTTCTAAATCACCTGGTTATAATTATCAGGACCATCTCGAATGCATCTTAGTAATTTTCTGACGGGTTCCTTCTATTTCATTCATATTCATATTTTGAAATGATTAAATGTTTTGAAATCATATATTGTGCATCACCAAATAATAGTCACAATGATTGATAATCTTGAAAAACGTCATTATGAATCTGTGGCTTATGAAACATAATAATACAAGGTTACATCTTTGTAGTATTTTCTTTTGTTACGATGATAATGATCATGGTGCTGGTGGTGGTGATGATAATGATGATGATGATGCTGATGATGATGGTGGTGGTGGTGATGATGATGACGGTGATGATGAAGACAATGATGATGATGTATTGATGTTCTCACTCTTTAATTCAGGTCTTCTGGGATGTTGCGGAGCTGCACATCACAATGACTGTCTCTTGAGATCAGTAAGTAAAAGTTGCGTTCAAAAGTGTTTATCAGGCCAAAAAAAAAAAATATATATATATGACTATTGAACTGCTCCAAATTCCCGTTGGCGTTGCATAAGAAGCGTCATTTTGATGACGTACATGTACGTGTAGGACTGCGTCACCAAAATGATTGGTCTCTGACGCGGCGTGCGCCATTACGAGAGTGACATCGTACAAAAAGTGACTGCAAACTGACTAGTGAACGTATTGCTTTGAATCACTGGCGCATTTTACATTCACAGGCTTGATTAGCATACGTAACCCAATCAGAGTGATGTTTATTATGCGTATTATGAAAGATCCAACCCATCCTTTGTTCAGTCATTTTAGTTTCAACAGATCAGGTGTTCGCCTTTGCGTCCCCCCTACCAAGCGGGTTCGCTTTAGAAACTCGTTTGTCCCCGATTCCATCCACATGTTCAATAGTAAAGTAAAAAGATGAGATGATTCCTGAAGGTAAGGGGGGGGGGGGGCGATACCGTAAACGAATTTTGATACAGAGTATATGTTATAACATTTAAAGTGATTAATATTATGAATATTGAAATTAGATGCACAGTCATTAATGAGATCATGTGATCATATAGTTAAAATTTAAAAGTATGATTTACTGTTTGTAAAGTTAGTGTTGATACTATTCAGATTAAGTTTAAATTATTGATATGACTTACTCGGTGATTAATGAGTAATATGTAATTCGAAGTTTGTTTAATTGACTTAATGCTTTATGTTTATACCTTGTATTTATGAACAAAGAATTTCCATTTATATGGACATAAAACAAATCAAATCAATCAAATCAATCATGCGATTTTTCAATTCGAGTTCATGACCCTGCTCTCACGGAATTGTATATTTTGCAGGGCGAAAATATAACTTTCGGCATAATGTTGATATAGAATAAAGTCGTTTGAGATTGTTTAAAGCCATTTTATATTGAATCAAGAGTCGTTGGTGTGTTTAATTGACGAAAAAATTAAGCTTATCATCAGCTTGTCATGCATATCAAATTAAATAGATTGATAAAAAGGAACTACAGATTCCTTGTAATGACTTTTGCATTTTCCTCCTTGCCTTTTCCTCCATAGTATATTCTTGTGCTGGTCTTGTTCATACTGGCTGAGATTGGAATTGGCATCTACGTTGGACTAGGCTTCGGCTCAGAGCAGGTAAATCGCTAGGTGCCTAACCCTTTTAGAACAGGATTTTTTTTATTAAAGGACCATGCACTTGATAAAACTACGTTTTTCTTCAAATTGGCAACAGCAATATTTTTTCTTAATTTAATGCTATATTGCTCTCATAAATTTTAATTTCTCTGCAAATAATATCTATGGATAAAGACCTTTTTGAATGGCAAATTTTAATATAAAAAATCCTACTGGTTTTGAACCTTTCAACATGTAACCAATTCAAGATTTTTAAAGTTTATTTTCCTTACAAAATGAACCGACGTGTGTGACCCCCCCCCCCCCCCCTCCCGCTGTCCCGCGGCACACGTTTCCATGGTTTCTTGAAGCCAGAGAAATGTGCACAAGCTGGCGAGATGAAAGGTACTAATCCTGAGATTACGCAAGAAACCCGTAAAGTGCCCCCCCACACACACACACACACACAATTTAGGAATCGCTAGCAATTTTCAGTTGGTATATTCCTCTTTTTCATTACTTGTCAGGTACAGTCTAAAAAAAAGCCTCTGACCTACTCATTTATCTCTTTGGTATACAAGCACTATGGTGTCATCTGTTCAATTTATATTGACATAATTTAAAATTCAAGAAACCACGATACAGTATTGGCATCGAAGCAAATAGAAAGTCAAAGTAGAGACGCCATGGCTCAGTGGTAGAGCAACGGTCTCGTAACCCGATGCGATGGTCCCGGGTTCGAAGCCATGTTGATGCGTTAGTGCCTTTTGGTAGGGCATTAATTATCATTACCAACTCTTCTCTGACTTAAAGCCGTCGCTTCTCTAGTTGCTTACTTACAAGCATACACAACAGTCAGATGAACAAAAACAAAAAAGTAAGACTTCAAAAAGTGAAGCATCGCGATTTTTCTTTCATCAAGAAAGAAAACTTACAAGGGGGAGAATTAAAATTAAAAGGATGAAATTCAGACATAACACAATCATCTCGATGAACAGAAACTGAATGTTGTTTTTGTGCCGTATTCAACATAGATAAATCAAGCAGAATTCCTTATCCGGTTAACGCCGTAACTATTTTAATTATATTTTCGTTTTATTTGCAGGCTCCTATATTTTACGACGTGAAAGCTTTACGTGATAATTACAATACATGTGATCATGTTGAAGCCATTGAAACAACACTTTTTCTTAGTTTGAATTTCATAGGATAAAATCTATCGATTTTTACAAACATTGCGATTGTATTGTAAAATATATTTCTATGATATTTGTTATTGTATTCTTTTTCTATCTGCACAAATAATAGTTGGAGAAAATATGGGATGCCAGCGACGAGCAAAGCAAAGAGGTAGTCTACAGCACGGTAAGTCTGACATACAATATGGAGAACTTCTGCGAGTGATGATATTGTTTTGGAATATGATGTAAAAGTTGAATAATCAAACCACGCATGTCCTTTGAGATGTACGAATACGAATCGCATCGAAAACCTGGGTACTTTAAAATCAGTACAACAAATGAAAAATAACAGACCTGCTTGATTCGTCATAGACCCACTTATTTAAATTGCGGAGTTTAGTCATCGTGATATTGATGATGATAGCAACAACAACAACAATAATAATGATATCAATAATAATTATATTGACTCATCTAATCAATGTCTTTGCCACAGAAACATTTATATTGTTACTTGTTGAAAAGTACACCCTGTGAATGAAAAGAAGTATTTGAGTAAATGTTATTAACAGGGGCAACTTCTGTAGAAAGGGCCTATCATATCTCTCAAACTGTATAGGCATGTATGTATGGCATACCGTTCCCACATTATAAACACATAATATCGTTTTGATAATCAGTAAGACAACTACTACGTCTGGCAGCTCATGACTGACGTGCCCATATTTATGTTAGTCTTAGCCACTCTCATCACGAAAGCAAAGAATTTTGAGAAACCATTCAAGAGCAATTTCAAAATGCTATCGTACACGTCCTAGATATCACGTTCGGGTTACGTATTCCGTCATTGAAGCGGTCACACATTTCGATACGTGATGGAGTTTTAAATGTCTTTTCGATTGTGTCTCATGATTATAATTGTCTTTTTTCTTTGAACAGTTCAAATGCTGTGGATTTAATAATCAATTTGAAGCTCCGGGATGTCTCCTTCAACATCCTACCTTCCAGGTCAGTAAATACATGAGGGACGGAGCACAGCGCCCCCATTTTTAAAATACCATACAAGTGTCCTTTAATTTCGATGCCTTAAAGTACATGTTCAACCTAACTTTGATATTAAATAGACGGCCCTTTCAATGATAAAAGTTAGATTGTTGGTTAGTATGCATACTTGTACATACATAACTGGAAGCATAAATCAATATACAAATAAAAAAATTCAAAGATTGCCTAAATGTTCTATTCAGATCCACTGATTCAACGCCTCTGTCCTTTTAGATGTCCAGAAGTGCATGAAGTAAGCCAAGATAAGAACCATTTCTTACGACAATGGCAAACTCTTAAAGAGAAAATAAAATTATTAAACACCACATAGGCAATCTAAATTGGCAATATTCATTTATATCAATCCTTGGTGGCTGTCAGCAAGTACAGTGTAGAAGGCCTTTGACAAGGAAGACAATGCAAGTAAAGACACACTCAAACGTTTTAAAGATGTTTTAATATAATGCATGAATGAATTGAGGGAAACAATGGCAATATGTCTAAGCGGTGGTAGCTCTTCACGCTTCAAATTCCCAACTGTAAAGTCAAATACATTTTTATTTCCTGTGTGAACCCGATTGTAAAACTTGCCTTCTCCGTCGCTGTCTTCTTACTCCCTATTTACTTTCCTCACCCCTCTCCCCAAAGAGAATGGGCTTAAATATCCTCTGTAGTTAATTATATATAATATGTACATGGGTGTCGATCCCGGGGTGGATGGGAGGATATATCCCCCAATATTTCAGGTGGGGGAGGGGGATGGCCTGTACAATCATCCCCCCCCCCCAATAATTCACCATCAAAAAAAAAATGAAGAGAAAAATTAATGATGATAGCCCGATGAGAGTAACTAATGGTTATTACTCACAATATACACATTTTGCTATCTCATTTTCATAATACATACATACATACATGTATATATACGAAGTGAAAGAGACAACCGTATATGAGACAAAAATAAATTGAATTCTCGCTCATACGGCTTCTTCAGGAATTGATGAATTTATTAAATGTGTTCAATCAACAGCATCATAGAAATGCAGTGCGCCAAATGCAAAGCCGCAGCGTTAAAAAGCAACGAGCTAAATGTTGAGCGCGAAGCGCAAAAGTAGCAATCTGCAATGCACATCAAACAATCCTGGACAGTGTAAACATAGATGAACTCTGTGACGAATTCGTGATGAGATCGAAGACAAGGAGAAAGATTTTCGGACATTAGTATGACTTATAAGATAGTTCACTAGTTGCTATGTTGTTTCCGTTCACCCTTTTTAAAATTCACGTCATTGTATCTTTATTTTTATTTTTTTCACTCATATTATTTCCTGATATTTCATAAAACATTTTTCATTTTTGGAGAAAGTTTATTATGTCACATCTTATTTTTTGTTTTATTGAAAAGGTGGTGTAGGCCTATGTCACTGGCGTACTGGTGGGAGGGGGGGGGGGCTTGGGGACGCTAGCCCCCCCCCCCAAAAAAAAAAAATAATAATAATAAAAAATAAAAATAAAATCCAACCATGACTTATTTTCAATTTCATACAAGTGATTTATAAATGTTCGTGATATCACATGATTTTCAACAAAATTCGCGTTTCTCCATTTCTGTTGCAAACTGACATATTCCCAAATAGCCAGGAAGAGCATATATTTTGTATAGTCACTAATGGGCCTAATTAGTGGCCGATAACACAAACAGTAGTATACAATTCCTTTCCAGAAGCTATTGCGACAAGCACTGCCGGGAGATAACATGATACCCACCACTCTCGGGCTGTGCATGCAAAGATTTGCTATAAGGATTAATATAGAGAACAGTACAATGAATCGTCTTCTTTCTCTAATAATTTAGTGAAACGGCAAAGCTTCCGCGCTTTGCGCGAGAGGGGGGCAATTGAATTCAGAGTAAGATTAAGAGTTTTATTTAAATGAAACGTCAAAGTACACGATACAACGAATCGTTTTCTTTTTCTAATAATTTAAGAAAACATGAAAGCTTCCACGCTACGCGCGGGATGGGCGAAAATGATTTCAGACGTGGATTAAGAGTAATTATTAAATGAAACGTCAAAGCTTCCGCGCGGGAGGGGGGAAACTGAATTCAGACAAAGACACGATACAACGAATCGTCTTCCTTCTCTAATAATTGAATGAAAGGGTAAAGCTTTCGCGCTTCGCGCGGGATGGGCGAAAATGAATACAGACAAGGATTAAGAGTAATAATTTATTGAACCGCCAAAGCTTCCGCGCCTCGCGCGGTAGGGGGGAAACTGAATTCAGACAAGGATACGATACAATGAATCGTCTTCTTTCTCTAATAATTTAGTGAAACGGCAAAGCTTCCGCGCTTTGCGCGAGAGGGGGGCAATTGAATTCAGAGTAAGATTAAGAGTTTTAATTAAATGAAACGTCAAAGTACACGATACAACGAATCGTCTTCTTTTTCTAATAATTTAAGGAAACATGAAAGCTTCCACGCTACGCGCGGGATGGGCGAAAATGATTTCAGACGTGGATTAAGAGTAATTATTAAATGAAACGTCAAAGCTTCCGCGCGGGAGGGGGGAAACTGAATTCAGACAAAGACACGATACAACGAATCGTCTTCCTTCTCTAATAATTTAATGAAAGGGTAAAGCTTTCGCGCTTCGCGCGGGATGGGCGAAAATGAATACAGACAAGGAATAAGAGTAATAATTTATTGAACCGCCAAAGCTTCCGCGCCTCGCGCGGTAGGGGGGAAACTGAATTCAGACAAGGACACGATACAATGAATCGTCTTCTTTCTGTAATAATTTAATGAAACGTGAAAGCTTCCGCGCTCTGCGCGGAAGGGGGGAGACCTGAATTCAGACGAGGATTAAGAGTCGAGAATGGTACATCGAATCGTCTTCTTTCTTTAATAATTTAATGAAACGTCAAAGCTTCCGCGCTTCGCGGGGGAGGGGGGAAACTTCCCCTCCCTGCACCCAACCTCCTAGGGAGCGCGCTCTGTAAGTGATTAGCACGCTTCGCGTGCTCACTACCGCCCCCCCCCCTCTAAAATGAAATCCTGGCTACGCGCTTGGGGAGGGGTACAACCTGCCACACGCTTCTACCTCTTGGTTGCTTTGTTTTAATCCTTTGCCGAAAATATTTTGGCACCTATCATCCCCCCCAACCACGGATACAAATCGACACCCTTGAATATGTATTACATTACATGACATATAAGTTTGTTCATATTCGGTGTGTTCTTTAAGTTTTTGGATGTACCAATACATTCGTGAAATGTTCATTCTTTGACCCGCCATGTCTCAATCGCAAATATCACGAGTGCATGTCTTCTAGACAAACAATTTTCACCTCTCTTTAATTTTATACAACTTTTTGGTGGGGGCTACATACATTTGTTCTTCTTGATATATCCAATACAGGTTGGCTGTTATTCAAAGCTCAAGGCAGCGTTAGAAGAGCTGGACATTGTGCTTATCTGTGTGGCAGCTGCAGTTGCTCTGTTGCAGGTAAGATTCCTCTTCGAATTCTATCTAAAAGTATCTGGTTACCAAGGATGCCGATGAGAGAGGGGGGGGGGTGGGCAGACGACATACCCACCCCACCCCTATTTTTGTTTTAAATGATTAATGGTGTGTTGAATACATCGGGAGCTTCGATTACTGCTTTTGAAGTCCTTCTCCATTCTCCATCAAAAAGATTTCTAGATATTACCACGAAGTGGATGCATGCGAAAGGTCTCTAGTATATATTTTCAATTATCATTATTATTATTATTATTTTGTTTTATTTTTTATTATTATTATTATTATCATCATCATTATTATTATCATTATTATCATTATTTTTATTATTATCAATGTTTTAGTTGTTGTTTTTGTTATTATTATCATTATTATATTTGTTGTTGTTAACATTATTATTGGTAGTAGCAATAGTAGTAGTAGTATTCTATTCACGTTTTTCTTCCATTACAGTTACTTGCAATTATCATGTCATGCTTCCTGGCCTGCAACAAAAAGGAATACGTCGAAAACCAAGTCATGCCGATGCGTAAGAATTGATTACTTTTTCAAATACTTTTATACGTTTATACTTTATATGTTCCCACTTTCGACTTAGAATCAGTAGAATTGTGCTGTCAAAAATGATGATTGTTCAGAAGCACTGATTTTATGGATAGAACATGAAAATGAAGGAGAACAATTTTTTTTTTTAATACAATCTAGGGAGAATTTCATATCCAGTGCGAGATTTTATAGCCTTGATTTAATTCCTGCACTGTTCTTGCATGTCAAATAATATTACACATACATTTCAGTATGCTGTCGTGTTGTTATCGAAATTACGACATTCAGTATCAAGTTACGTACTGCTATTATCTATTCTATCGTTTTCCAGAAACACGAGGAGGCTACGACAATGGCGGATATCGGTGAATTGCATCACAAGAAGGGAGAAAGCAGATGTTAGCTATTTAGAACATAACGAAATATCCAAATTAATTACCAAAAAGAAAAACAAAGCAAAGAATTTAAAGCCCATTTGAATTGTTGGTAAGCCCTGCACAACTTGTTCGTCTATGTTTTAAGATTTTAGTTGATAATAACAAAATACTATTACGGTAGGCTGATTTAGTTTTCTTCTTGAGTGAAATATTGAACACATAAAAGGTAAATTTGTTCATTTGTGTGCCTGAACCGTCTCATAAATTATCCAGTGACGTCAACGCAACCTGGACAAGTACCAAACCTATGTCAGCTAACCTACGCATGCAAATGTTCGGTCTCCCAACATTGTTTTTGTTTTATGTGATGTGGTTTGCAATAATAGAGTATCTTGGGAGCTGGGCAGGTTGGGATAATGTTTATGAGACTTGAGCTTTAAAGTTAAAGTTCAATTTCAATAATATAAATAGGGGCTTGACCGATTAGAGCTTTGAAGAAAATAGATATGACTATTTACGTCTGGGGACAGACATTTAACGTCACAGTACGACGAAAGACGTATCCCAGTTTCGAACAGGTGTCTGTCTAAAACAGCACTGACGGTATACCGCTAAACCAAACCAACTCATATATCGCATCTCATGAGTACAACTCCATCATACTACGGTCTTAAAACAACCGTAATATGGCATCCCTTTCATTTTTTAACACTTCATTTATCGGAGACAAAATGGGCAGAACGTTAAAAACATCTTGCTCATTTTGGCTGTAAAAAAAAAAGTTCAGTCCTATTGCGCTTCGTTTGTTATACATTTTGCTTGTTGTCGTCATAATTCAGATTTTATGTGCCTTTATTTCCTCTAATGATGTACATTGTAAAGTGTTGTGTATTGATGCAGATAATTTTTTGACAATCACATTTATTTTGACGTGTTTATATTTTGCCGTGCACTTTCTACAGTGATAGTGAATTGTATTGATAAATAGTGCTGATTGTAAATAATGTTTATAATAATAAGGGGAAAAAAAATCATATACTCATATTGAAATTGCGTGTGTTCATATTGATGCTTTCTATGATTATATGCTAGTATCTACTAGTATGTATGGAAGTTTGCTTCATCACCAAAACATTATGATCACGATTTTATATAGTACGAGCAAACTAATGAATTGCAAATGTAGACCAGAGTCATTTCATAGTTGTTGTGTGTCTGTATTTTAACATCTTAGGGCTTTAAAATATGGGGGCTGACGTGTTGGAAAATGTAGGCCAACATCCTTTATATTTAGATTGGTAAGGGGCGACCCTTACCTCATATTTTCTTAATTTGTTCAGAATTAATTGTACACGTTGTCAGACCTACATGTGTATTGCGGCAAACTAAATTATGTACAAAAACGTACAGAATTATTCTTTGTGATAATATAACTGCTGGGTCAATCTTTTTCTTCAACTTTGATAATTTAAACGTAGGTATAACAGATATTCGAGTGGAAATCGGGTATCATAACCTCTCTATTACACAGCAAAAGATAGCGCTGTGGCACACTTTAAACGTCATGTATTCTGTAAAAATTGTGCTTTTAATATATCTCTAATTGTTATTTGAATAATAAACTCTGCAGTGTCTTTCAGATTTTCACCTGTAACTGTCTGTCACGTGTGGATATGTGATTCGTCCATTCATTCACTTAAAAGCTCTCGAACACAAAGCATTCCGATTTCACCGGGGAGGGGGGGGGGGGTATTCCTCGTGCCCTTTGGGGTTCCCAATCTGCAAAAGAAGATTATTAGAACATAATAATAATAATAATAATAATAATAATAATAATAATAATAATAATAATAATAATAATAATAATAATAATAATAATAATAATAATAATAATAATAATAATAATAATAATAATAATAATAATAATAATAATAATAATAATAATAATAATAATAATAATAATAATAATAATAATAATAATAATAATAATAATAATAATAATAATAATAATAATAATAATAATAATAATAATAATAACAATATTTATAAAGCGCAACATATCCATCTCTAGAGATGCTCAAGGCGCATACAAATAATTTAAATTAATATTCGACATAGTTACTTAAGATTAAAGACATATTAAATGTAAACTTACAATAGATCACACAACTTCATGGTGCCATGGTACATACAATGTGGCACAGTGTAATTATTCGCTTTGCATGCATTGTATAAAAAGAACATTGAAATTTAAACATATGCATTGAGCATCAGGTGAGTTTTAAGCCCAGTTTTGAAAGAAGAAAGAGTGTTGGCCGTCTGAATAGAGAAAGGTAACTTATTCCACAAAGAAGGAGCTGCTGATGCAAATGCTCTATCCTCCAATAGGCCTACGTGAAGAAGGGAAGACGATGTAATTTAGAGAGAGAGAGAGAGAGAGAAAAAAAAAAAGAAGGGGGTAGTCGAGAAGAATACATAACATTAATATTGCCCTATACACTGATATCGTGGACAGGGTAAATGTAAGCTGGCGTAGAAGTATAATTACTTTAAACAAAAATGTCGATATAAGTAAACGAAGGGCTCATTCTTCTCTTATGTTGATGAGAGCAGGAAAGAAAGCCCGGGGAAACAGTTAATCTCAGTTTTTTTTTAAAATGAACCAAGAAGAAAACAAAAAGTTATGACTCTTTGTTAATTGTGATCACTACTAAAATGTCAATCTCCAATTTGGCAATGCAGAAGTATTGTGTGGATCCATATTAGGAGACTTCTCTTTCACCCCGACGCTTTATAACCCCCCGGATGTACCCATCACCTTTCTTTAAAAAGTGTTAGGACATTTACCTTGCATCATAACGTATTGGAATGATTTCAAACATCCGATAATATTTTTAACATATATTTAATAGAGATAGCATTTTGTGATTTTGTCATTAGTTTGTTTCATAACAAAGTCTCTCAGTTTGGATTTCTAAACGATAGTCTTACCCAAACGGAGGGTACATGTGACCTCGCACGAAAAGGGTCTTACGTGTTGGTGTTCAAACTTATTTTCCTCTTATTTCTCTCAGAGTGCAAGTACTCCATTTTTCTTTGCTGTATGATGGAATTGGTCTTAGCAGTTTGAAAGCGATTTAACAACAACAACAACAAAATTCTCATTTTTTTAGAGGTGAAAATTGGAACGGTCACGTGTATGGCCATTCACAATATGGCGTTTTGAAATGTCTCTCTAAAAACATTATTGTTGTGCAAAGATTTTTTCTTGTCAAAGAAAGGGAAATCTCTTTCATTTGAGAAACATGTGATATTAAAAATATTAATAACATGTGAACTGATTTTCCGACATTAAGGTAAAAAAAATTATAATATTCCGCTTATAAAGCGCTAAATACAAATGTCTCTTAGCGCTTTACAGATATACTATTACCCCGGTCATTGGATTCAGTGCTTGCCCGCACTCACTGTGTGCACAATCTCTATACTCCCTGGTGAGCATTCCAGCATAAATGAGTAAGTGACCGTTCCCACAGCTCAATCTTTTAAAGGTTCTATGTCCCATTTGCAGGCCAAAAAAATGAAAAAGTTAAATTCCAACTGCATTTGAAAGATAATACTAATTTAGAACTTCCCTAAAAAAGGTAGGGCTTGAAAATGTCTTCAAGTGGGAAAATAACGACTATTAGTTGTCAAATCGACTTTAGGGCTATAAAGCCCAAAAGTAATAGTCTTGATTTTCAGACAATTGTACCGAATGGTCATACGTTTTATGCTGCGCAAAGATTCAATCAGTTTAATCTTGGCCATCACAAGAAGTGGGTTATTGATGTAGACAAATGCTCATGTACCCTTTACAACTCTTTTCATGTATGTTATTACCACCGAAGAAGAAAAGCCAGTCAGTCACTCAATAGTGTCTGACAGTAAAGTCTAGCAAGTAAACGGGTTTCCTTGCATAATTTGAATATGAGGACACTGCTAAGGTTTAAATTTCACAGATAGGACATACATGACATATTCATAATTCCTGGAAAGTTCTACAGCATTTGAGGTTGGCTGCAAAAGGGACATAGTACCTTTAATGTAGGTCCAAATCTAATCTCTAAATTCTTTTCCCGCATTTGGTAAGAGGACACTTTTTTTTTTTTTTTTGGTCTCGAAATTTGGAAATTTGACATTTTGCTCCGTTGGGGGGGGGGGGGGTAAGGTCACCTTTTTTAGGTCGGCCATGGGAATATTTTTTTTTTTTTTTTTTTTTTTTTAATAATAAATTTTTTTTAGGGGGGTTTACACACAAAAAATTTCCAAAGGGGGGGGGGGGGGGGTTTAACCCCCCAAACCCCCCCCCCCCCTGCGTACGCGCCTGCTGGCATCTATTAACACAATGGAGACCATAAAAAGCAGTGCATGATAACGTCTTTTTAAATCAAGTAACAGTTAAATACACAGTTATATCCAGAGTTATCATGTGTTTGGTTAAGTTACCAGATGAGTTGAAAATCTTCTCACAATATTTGCACTTGAAAGGGTTTCTCTCCAGCGTGCGTTCTTTGTTCTTTCTTTTTTTTTCACTTCGGCGGTGGCCCGTGTCCTCAAAAAAGCTGATGGGGGGGGGGGGGGGGGCAAGGGACTCTGTGACATTTGTTCGCCCAACCCCCCCCCCCTCCCCCCAAAAAGAAATAATAATAATAATAATAATAATAATAATAATAAATGAAATAAATACATAGAAATAGAATAAAATAAAATTACAAGTTTAAAAAAAAAGATAAGATTTAAAAAAATGGTCCCCGGATTTTTTTTTGGGGGGGTTGCAACCCCCCAACCCCCCCTCTAGATCCGCTTCTGCCCCCCCCCCCCCCACTTTTTAAAAATGTGCCTGTACGCCTATGTAAATCATGTTTGTAGGTTGACATTTAATATAGATTAAATCAATGTCAAATGCTTGAACTTTAGTAAAGCTCCTCTTAAAACGTACATAAATTGTATATATTAGTAATCCCTAAAGATAGTGGTACTCGAGGGTTGGAGAGAAGCCATACAAGGATTGTTGTTTTTTTTGTTCGATTTTTAGCTTGCGATTCATTCTTCATTCTTGCCGTCGTTGAATGGTAAAAACATTTTTCATACCCCTAAATCCGAATGGCAGATTTTTTTGGGTTGTATGCCACTCACCCCACCCCCCTCCACCCCTCTTGGTCAAAACGCCATTTACTGTTTTTTCCCCCAATTATTAGATAAGAATAGTTAGTGAAATATAATCATCTACAAAATTATGTATTCTTGGGCATCTGTGGTAGCTGTGGTAGTCGTTTTTCGGAGGCGCTGTATTGTCGTTCCCATCTCCGGGAATCGATCGAGACAAATGCCAAAGATAGAGTCACCTCTAGATATAGCTATAGAACCATATTTGTGGAATCCGTTACTAACTCGTGTCTGTTCCTTATATTCTGTGCACACATGTCGTCATTTGCCTGACGTTCAACTGCGTCAGTGACTGCGTCGACTTTTACGTGCCAAATGAGAGACGCAAAATTACAGTGAAAATAATATCAAAAAAGAACTTTAATGCATTAACTAACTGGTGTGTGCCTATGCCTGCTTTCTTCACAGACTACTTGTACACTCGAAACGACGACTCATGTGTAACCAGTATCACAAACATTTGAATTATTTGAAGTATCATTTTGAAAACGGGGCTTTTTTTCTTTCTCGACAAGTTTACTGATCATGTTTAAGTATTTAAATAATATGCTCCCTCTTTCATTTCAAAACTTTTACACTATGAATAAAGCCATTAACTCTTACCCTACCCGTAATTCCTCAAATTTTCATCTAGTAAACCCGAAATTACTTATTGCCCATAGAGCCATAACACATCATGGTCCTGACCTATGGAACTCTCTCCCAGAATCTATTAATTCATGTTGCTCCCTCTACTCATTTAAGGCCAAAGTTAAAACGCTGTTATTATCAGAATATTCAAGGTAAAATTTCTGTTCAGTCTTTATCATCATGTCATCTCTTCTTTCATTCGAATCATTATCATCATCATCATCATTATCATCATCATCATCATCTTCATCATCATCATCATCATCATCATCATCATCATCATCATCCTCATCTGCACTGTTAATATCACCAGCATCAACATTTGTATTTTCAATTACCTATCCGTTTCTGCTTAATAATGTCTTAATCTATTTCAGTTTTGTCTGGGGCAGTCGTATTATCAAGCAATCTGCTTACAATGACAGTCCTTCTTCCCCAAATAATTTTATAATGTTTTATAATGTTTGGGGAAATTTAGTATTTATGACAGTTTATCATTTCGTTTTTGAAAATAACAAGTTATGTACATATATATTTATATGTATTTGTATATTATTAATATTTTTCTCGAAAGCAGAAGTGTTTTAGGGGCTAAATTTTCTAGTGCTTATAATACATTCACAGGGGCATCCAAATATATCAAAATTGTAAATTTTTCCCAAAACTTTTTAAAGACGGTTTTTATTGTTCACAAATTACCGGTAATGGGAAAAAATGGCTACTTATTAAAAGTTTGATTGGGGTGTTTCGTAAGAATTTTTCTCCTTTACTAATCACGATACCATACGAATTGACGTACATGGTTGCCTTGGTGAG